CTCAGACACCTAGGTGTGGGATCGGGATTCCTTACTTGGATTGATGCTGTATATTCATACCCTTTAGCAACAGTCAGAACTAATGAGGCCACCTCAATGTATTTTTGCTTGTCTAATGGGACCAGGCAGGGTTGTCCCTTGTCTCCCCTGATATTCATATTGACTCTAGAATCCCTTTTGCATCATGTTCGTATGAATCAGAATGTTAGGGGTGTACCCATGGGCCAGACGGGACAAGGTGGCGGCTTTCACCGATGATCTATTGTTCTTTGTGGCAAACCCACGAGGTTACATTGCCCAATCTTTTGGAGGAACTGAATCGTTATGGATCTCTCTTGAATTTCAAAATTAATAGTCATAAATCGGAGTTTCTGAATGTCTCTATGCCCGAGTTTAGATTTCGAACCGTCTGTGCCTCCTGCCCTTTTCAGGTGGCTACCTCCTCTTTGTCTTATTTGGGGGTCAAGATTACTCGTACTCTAGATCAGATATTCCAAGCCAATTTCCTTCCTGCCCTTAGTGCTATCACGGCAGACCTTCGCAAATGGGCTGATCTTGCCCACTCTTGGATAGGCAGGAATGCAACACTTAAGATGAATATCATGCTCCGCCTTTTATACAATGGGTAGAGATGGAGCAATGTTTTATGGATATTCCTCTTCGCTGTCTCCTGTGGCTGGACCCCAACAAAATTCCAGCCGTCAAAACCCACCCTTTGCTGAATGCCTCCCTAGGAGTTGTGAGGCGGTGTGCGGGGGGTCGAGTTGTGTGTACCACAATTTTCCACTTATATCTGGTATTGGGTAGCCCTTGTTTTCCGTCGGTTATTTCAGATGGAAGATTCCTGTCTCTTTTTTTTGGAGGCCGATTCTGTCTCCGAGATTTTATGGCTTGCCAGCTGGTGGAAATACAGAGGATGTTTTGTTCCATCTTTAGACAGTTGGAGTTTACAGCAACTCATTCATTTCTTGTCCTCCTTGACTCATAGAGGGTTGGACTTGGGTCCTAGTACACCTTTTGAGGATCTTTGTGTTAACACTGATCCCACCTCCAAGCAATCTCCTTAGCCTACAATTTGCTCAGCCAACTGGCTGATTCGTTTGTGCCACCGAATCTTCTAAAGTGGGAGAAGGAGCTGAGTAGGACTTTCTTGACAGAGCAGAAAGACCATATATTATATTTTGCCCATCGCTCCTCTATGTCGAGCAAATACCAGGAATTGGGATACAAATTGGTCCCGCGGTGGTATTGGGTCCCGGTCATCTTACACAAGATTTACCCTAAGGCAGTGGTTCTCAACCTTTCTAATGCCGCGACCCTTTAATACAGTTCCTCATGTTGTGGTGACCCCCAACCATAAAATTATTTTCGTTGCTACTTCATACTGTAATTTTTGCAGTGGGAGGAGTAGTGCCCCGTCATTGGTGTCAGTGGGAGGAATAGTGCCCCGTCATTGGTGTCAGTGGGGGGAGGTCATAGTGCCCCATCCTTGGTGTCAGTGGGGGGAGGAATTGTGCCCCATCCTTGGTGTCCCCATCCTTGGTGTCAGGGGGGAGAATTGGTCAGGGGGGAGGAATTGTGCCCCATCCTTGGTGTCAGTGGGGGGAGGAATTGTGCCCCATCCTTGGTGTCAGTGGGGGGAGGAATTGTGCCCCATCCTTGGTGTCAGTGGGGGGAGGAATTGTGCCCCATCCTTGGTGTCAGTGGGGGGAGGAATTGTGCCCCATCCTTGGTGTCAGTGGGGGGAGGAATAGTGCCCCATCCTTGGTGTCAGTGGGGGGGAGGAATAGTGCCCCATCCTTGGTGTCAGTGGGGGGAGGAATAGTGCCCCATCCTTGGTGTCAGTGGGGGGAGGAATAATACCCCATCCTTGGTGTCAGTGGGGGGAGGAATAGTGCCCCATCCTTGGTGTCAGTGGGGGGAGGAATAGTGCCCCATCCTTGGTGTCAGTGGGGGAGGAATTGTGCCCCATCCTTGGTGTCAGTGGGGGGAGGAATTGTGCCCCATCCTTGGTGTCAGTGGGGGGAGGAATTGTGCCCCATCGTTGGTGTCAGTGGGGGGAGGAATAGTGCCCCATCGTTGGTGTCAGTGGGGGGAGGAATAGTGCCTCATCGTTGGTGTCAGTGGGGGGAGGAATAGTGCCCCATCGTTGGTGTCAGTGGGAGGAATAGTGCCCCATCATTGGTATTAGTGACACCAATGATGGGGCACTATTCCTCCCACTGACACCAATGATACTTACCTTGCTGACCCCTGCTCCAGCCTGGGCTCGCTCGCACCCTTCCTCTCCCATGGTACCGACACTTACCGGTCAGCTGTCTTCCTTCTCCGGCCGCTCTCCTCCTCTTCACTCACTCGATCTTCGCGGTGCTGCTCGACTCCCTCCTCTCCAAGCTCCACCTCCTCGCCGGTGATTGGCCGCCTGTGTGCCTCTCCTGAGCTACAGTTCCGGCGGCCAATCACCGGCGAGGATTGATCCCGGGGTGTGTCCAGATGACAGGGACTGCATGTCATCCCTCCCACACCTGGAGACGGCTAGAGGAGCGGTGTCTCGGTTCCTAAGACCATCGGAAATGTGTGTTTTACGATGGTCTTAGGCGACCCCTGTGAAAGGGTCGTTCAACCCCCAAAGGGGTCGCGACCCCCCAGGTTGAGAACCGCTGCCCTAAGGCAACAAAAGTGTGCTGGTGATGTAAGGAGGAGGACGGTTTGTTCTTGCATATATTTTGGTACTGTAGAAAATTGTCCACTTTTAAGTCACAAGTTAGAGACCTTATTAGACGCTTGACAGAGAGTGATCTGGGGGATGACCCTGCTAGGTATCTACTGCTCCATTCCAACCTCTCTAGGAAACGTTTATTATGGTGCACCTGATCAATGCTGCTCATGCTTGTTTACCATCGCTCTGGAAGCAGGAGGCTCCCCCTTCTGCCTCCATGTGGCTGTCTAGGATTGAGGACATACACTCAATGGAAAATATTTTGGCAGCAGTTTGCAGCCAGGAGGATAAGTTTCGTCAGCTATGGGTCCATTGGTCTCTCTTTACCTGTTCCAGTGAATGTGAAACCTTGTTGCACTTGGTGGCTTGAAGTCCCTTCTCCATTCATGCTTTGCTATCTGCTGTTTCTGTACTCTTTTCTCTTCTTCTTTTCTTTTTCTTTTCTATGACTTGGATGCTGCCATTGTATGTTTTGTTTGGCAGGCTATTCAAGCTGTAAAGACTCTCAACCCAGTGTATGACACAATGCTGTTTTTGATGTTGTAATTGATTTTCTTATGTATCTTGACTGAACCTTGTTCGATGTCTATTCCAATGGCGTCTCATTGTTTCCTGTACTTCTTGTAAAAGTTTCATATAAATAAAGAATATTAAAAAAAAAAAAGATTTGGAACCCATCATAATGAAAATTCTAGACGTGTAGATATATGCAACTCAAGTGTAGATTATTCACCAAGAATCCCAAAAAAGACATAAAACTTGTCAAGTGATTTGATTGCTTCCCAAATGTAATCTGTAGTTTCTGTGGTTTAAAGTTCCTCAACACAGTGCTCATGCTGTGGGTTCCTATTTGACAGCTAGCAGTGAATACAGGTGTTAGCTGGCAAACCACACTGGGGGGGAATTTATAAAAAAATGTGTCAGAAATATATATTTGCATTTTATATGCATCTTTTTTATATTAATTATATATTTTTATTTAACATATTTAATAACAATATAAGCCTGATATACTTACGGCATCAAAACACGATGGGGAATTTTACTAAAACTGGACCAAACAGAATCTGGAGCAGCTGTGCATGGCAAGTGATCAGCTTCTTCATTTAAGCTTTGAAAATTAAAGTTAGCAGCTGACTGGTTGTCATGCATAAGCTGCTCCTGGTTGCTCTGGTTTTGACAAATTTCCCTAACTGTGTCTGACCTGTTCTGGTCTCTTCTAATAATAAGAAATAAAATCAGCATGATTCGCTATGGTAGCTATGGCATAGTGATCATATGCAAGCCTTAAAGTGGTTTTGTAAACCTTCTGATGTGAAATATGGAAAAAAAAAAAAAAACTATCCCTCGTTAGTGTGTACTTGTCTGAATCCAAAGCACTAAGTGTCATTTTTGTTTTCGCTGCCTTGTTCCCTATGCAATCAGCCCATGAAACACTTCTGACAAGTTTTCCTGACACCAAGAGAGAAAAAAGTGAGACAGGGGAATGGATACCCCTAGCACACAGCCTGTGATTGGCAGTCCCAGGCTCTCTTCCTGTGAGCTGTATGAAGGGAGTGTTTTCCCCCCCTCCAATCAACTCTTAGAGGTCTCCTCACTGAGCGCTCTGCAGTGTGTAATTTCAGCTCTCCACCCCGATTTTCTGACAGTGCAGGCAAAGCTGCATAAATTCTGCAATTTGAATGGATGTATAGAGACGATAAGACTGTAGATAAACAGGTAACAAATTTATGTAAGAGGATTTGTTTAATCCCTGAGTATCACTTGGGGCCAATCACTTCACTGGGTATATGAAAGGGTTTTTACAAACCACTTTAAGACAGCATTGTGTCTTAATGCTGTAATATTCAGAATAAATTAAAAAAACAATATATTATGATAAAAATGGTTATAGTAAACAGTAACCTTTATTCATCTTCATTACATGGTGGATTAATGATGGAACTAGTAGTTTACACAATAAAGATTACAGTTATTTGTGCTTTCTTTTAAGCTCCCAGGTAATGACACTAAATTTCTGGCCAAGATCAACAGGCATTTTCTTATATTTACTGAAAAATGTTCTTGAAAAGCAAAAACAAATATAGCCACCATATCTAGAGATTGGTAAACTGTAAAATATTAAATTTGTCTTTTGCGATTTGTATATGCTTTAACTCTTAGTGAAAAATTATTTTTACAAGTTTATTAAAATTAAAAGAAGACATAGTTTTCCTGTTAACTTAAAGCAATGTGGAGGATAATATAGGCTTGCTGTAATCTGACATTTCATCCTGTGTAGGGTCACATTGAAACCATCTTTGATTGCAAATTCAAACCCGACGACGTCCTAATTTATTGGCTACGCTCATTTGATGGTAACAATTAAAGTCTGGGACATCAACACACTGACAGCCGTGTATACATCCCAGGAAAATGAAGGTGTCATCATCTACTCGCTGTCCCTGGGCCAGGTAAGTTCTTTGACATACTGAGATTCTAAAATTATTAATGCTTGATTAACACACAAACATTAATTTAGTAATCATTTAATTCCTGCCTAGGAGATTTAAAATTGTATAGCAGGTGCAACATCACGGAATGGAGGCTTCATCTGGGATGTTAAGAAAAGGGAAAATGATAACACGATTCAATGAGGTAGGAGCTTTAAAATCAAAATGTTTTTTTTCAGGTTTCTCAGCAAATCGTGGAATTTGTTTTTGGGTGATGTTATCTAATAGCCAAAGTGTCAATATGCTTCAGTAAACATAGAACAAACTCAAAAATAGCTGCAGTGTGTGTAAAAATTAAAATGATGCCGGTTTACTGTCCTTCAGGACTTTGAGGGGGCCGGACTGGCCAGTGTGAGTAGAAAATGTGTGTGCCCCAACGTCAACTGGTCAGTCCGCCCCTAGTTCGAATAGTGCCTTATTGTTGTATCAGTAACAGTATTATACCCCATTGTTGGGCTGTGCTTAAAAGGAATAGTGCTTATATCAGTGGGTAGAATTAGTGCCCCCAAGGGCCTTGATAAAGGCAAGCAAAGGGCCACAATCTGCCCCCGGGACTGCAGTTTGGAGACCCATGCTATTAAAGCATAGTACCAGTAATCGAAGAAACATTAGCTTCCATAACTGATACAGTTAGAAGTGGAAAGGAAAGGAAAGGAAAACGCCACTTCAACCAGCCTGATCTTAATTGCGATGTTGGCCTCAAGCCAATGCTAGAGGCCATGCTCCTGACACATTTCGCCACCGTGAGGGTAAGGAGAAATGTGTCAGTATCGTATGGCTTGAGCAGCAGCTGAGGACAACACCACAATTAGGCTGGTTCAAGTGGCATCTTCATTTTCTTTTCCCATCGTGAAGAAAATATCACCAGCACACAAAGGATTCCCTCAAATGGGTCCAAAGCTTTATTTCATGGTCACATGAAAACACGATGATAATACTCATAAGGCCTTTATGTTTATCATGTGACCACGAATAAAGCTTTGGGCCCATTTGAAGAATGACATTTCTTCACTTGGATTGACTGCGGTTCCCAGCCTGTGATCACTACAGCACCCACGCAGCAATAATGAATATCCATTTTACGGGGAACGTGTGCATTGGGAATACTGCGTTTGATTCCATTCCTTTCCACTACCCACACTTCTGAGATGGTACACTTTGAGATGCCATGCTCCTATATAATTTTTAGGGTTTAATGCCAAATAAACTTCAGTTCATTCGAGATGAATCAAAACAAAAGGCGTGCAATTCTCACAATTTCCTGCTGAATAGAGGAACTCAAGCTCTGTCTTTGCAGGGGGTGCACCATACCTCTTCAGAGAGATCTCGGCTTCCCCACAGAGAACAAGGGTCCTTCTCTTCAGCATGCTGCCAGGAGAACAGGTTTTGTTTACTGAAGTTGTGGCTGCTTTCTAAAAAAAACTAACTATAAGACTTTAAACATCTTTTTATTCTATGTACCTGGAATAGATCTAGCATTAACAGATAACTTCACCTTTTGGAACATGTTATATGTTACACCCATATTTAAGATGGAACATGAAAAAATGTTCCAGCTCCTTGCCATTAGTTCCCTGATTTCTCCCTCCCTGTAATAGTGGCAGGGGGATCCTCTCCTCGGATCCCTCTGTCACGATTTTAAAAATCCGCCAATACGGCATATGTGGGGCTCCACCCACATAGCCATGTCATTCATTCACAGCAATCTGTGAATGAGAAAACTACAAATACCATCAGGACCTTTCTAGCTAACAGCTTGTAGTTTCTCAATGAACTGTAAGGCGCTTATGAGTGCACTCATAGTTCATTCTCAAGCCTTGCAGATTGTAAAAACCTCAACCCGTATCTGAGCTATGGGCTGAAAGATGCAGGGCTTGTTTGCAGGAGCCTGACATTGACATCTCTCTGATCCACTGATCACAGGTGCCATTTTGTTCTGCAAAAATTATGTGCATTTATTATTTTTTCTAAAAAAAGGTGAACTTAGACTTTAAGCTGAAGGTTCAGTTGGGCTTTAAAGACAGGGCTGTCCCCTTGGTTTAAACATCATGTGTATGGCTAACCCCCTTGCTGCATAACCCAAGTGTGCTTGAGCTTGAGGTGGACAATCTGATGGCCGGACATTCCCCCATCAGGATTTTCTGTAAGAGCACAAAATTCATGGTTACGTCAATTACTGCAAGTTGTCCAGGTCCTGAAGCTTAAAAGCAGCCCCAAACCATCGCCCTACCCACCACCATGTTTGACTGTTGATATGATGTTCTTTTTATGAAATGCTGTGTTAGTTTTACTACAGATGTAAAGGAATGCGCACCTTCCAAAAAGTTCAACTTTTGTCTCATCACTCCACAGAATATTTACTCAAAAGTCTTGGGGATAATCAAGATGTTTTTTGTGTTCTTTTTGGTCAGCAGTGGCTTTCGCCTTGGAACTCTCTGTTGGATGCCATTTTTTCCCAGCGTCTTTGTTGAATCATGATCAATGACCTTAACTTAGGCAAATGAGGCCTGCAGTTCTAGATGTTGTTCTGGGTTCTTTAATGACCTCCTGGATGAGTCATCATTGTGATCTTGGAGTAGTTTTTGTGGGCTGACCACTCCTGGGAAGGTTCACCACTGTTCCAGGTTTTCTCCATTTGTGGATAATGGCTTCCACTGTGGATTGCTGGTGTCCCAAAGCTTTAGAAATGGCTTTGCAACCCTTTCCAGACTGCTACATGTCAATGCTTCTCATCTACTCTTGAATTTCTTTAAATCGTGGCATGATGTGTTCTTTTTTTTTTTTAGATATTTTTGGCGTTCTTCACTTTGTCAGACAGGTTCTATTTAAGCAATTTCTTGATTCAACTGGTCTGGCAGCAATTAGGCTTGGGTGTGGCAAGTGAAATGTAAGCTTTCCAAAAAATGTTGCTAAACACAGTTCATTCAAGATTTAGCAAAGGGGGGGGGGGGCAGTTACTTTTTCACATAGGCCCAGGCAGGTTTGGACAGCTTTTTTCCCTTAATAAATGAAATCATCATTTAAAAACTGCATTTTGTTATCTTTGTATAATATTACAATTTGTTTGATGATCTGAATAATTTAAGTGACAAATATGAAAAAAAATTAAATCAGGCAGGGAGCAAATACGTTTTCCCACACTGTATATTGTCAGCTTTAGAATATTGGATATTCACTGTATTTTTATTTTATAGCATGGAAAAAATGGCATTTTTTGCATCTCTTGGAGCCATAAAGATTCTAAGCGCATTGCTACATGCAGTGGAGATGGATTCTGGTGAGTGAAGAAATCAATGATATTGGCTTTTATATTCCTCACTTATCGAAGTGTTTGTACAAAAAACAACTACTATTGAATAGAATAGATTATGTCTTATATTCCAATTACAAAACTTTTACTGGATAAACACAGTTTTAGTCTAGCTACTGTGAGGCAGTACGGACAGTCTGAGAAAGTTTTTCCTTTAGGCATTTTAATAAAAACCCAACTCTGGGAAATTTTAAAAATTCTCCTTTATTCTGCTCATTTATTTTAGGGAAGAATAACAGCACCGGCTCCCCCATGCTCCAGTGGCGGACAGCCCCTCAGTATCATTACATTCAATGCAAGGCTATGGACCCTGCGTCAGTCCTGATGACATCAGGACCTTAGACCGCTAGGGCATAGGAGAGAAGATGCTGCGGGAACCACTCTAGCAGCATGGAGGATCAGGGAAGCAAATCTTCTTTTCTATTCCCCTACACCTAAACCAGCAGTTAACCCTTGCAGTGCGGTTGTAGCCCTACTGAAAGGGAGAATTTTCAAGTGTCCTGGAGTCGGGCTTTATATAAAGCCTATCTTGTTTATTTCTATTAGAGCATATCTGAAACCAAAATCTTTTTTGTTTTAGATAGAGTAGGGAAGATTTACTCCCTCTGCCCATTGCTATGATAACAGAAAGTAGGGAAAATGCAAAATTCTACAGTTGTCACTAGAAGAGGAATAGACAGAATATTTTCCAGTGGGGACACATGTTTTGATGAAAACTGTCTAAGAAGGTATTTCCTCTCACTTTCTATTGTGTCTCTGATGTCAGGGGTTTTTAACATTTCCCTACTCCCTCTGGATATACTTTATGTGAAACTGATATATTAGATTTGCTCATTTAATTATGCTTGTTACTTTGGTTTATGCATTGTAAAAGTGAAAAATGTTTGTTTTCCTTTACAATTGTTTCAGCATTATTCGCACAATTGATGGGAAGGTTTTGCACAAGTACAAACATCCAGCGGCTGTGTTTGGATGTGACTGGAGCCAAAATAACAAGTAAGTCAGATGTTCTTAAAGTATTACTAAACCCACAACAGTAAAATCAGTCTGTATATGCACTAATGTATGCTTGTTATACTCACTGTGGAACCTAAGGGGTTAATCCTCTGCATTGTATAAACAGGCTGTTTGATCCTGTCTTCTCTGATCCTCTCCTTCTTCTAGTGTTCCCAGTCCATCTGCTGATAGTACAGAGCTCTAGGAGTCACTCTGCACATGCTCATTTAGTGTGTATAGCTGGAGAGTTTTCATTTTCTTTGCAAGGGTGCATTTGATCAGCACAGGGCCAATCAGCACTGTTCAGACAGAGGGTCAGGGATTACGCAGCCTCATAGGACAGTCAGAGGAGAATAAAAACTCCAACAAATTTTAGCCAGTGCTCAGCTGGACACTGATAGAAATCACAAGACTGCTATATACTGCATATAAGAAAAGGTATTTAGCAGTATATTTACTACAATAGTTGCATTTCTATGTTCGATGTACTGTGGGAGACCAAATATAGTGAATACATGGTCATGGGTTTAGTAACACTTCAAACTGTGAGATGGATTTAGCTTATGAGACCTACTGTGGAAGTTTGGGAGGCTTTTAATTACCAACATTTTTTTATCAACTTATATATTCAAATTTTTTTCCACTTTTTTTATTGCTTTATATCCAGCTTATATGACAGTTTATGGTCACCCCCTGAATTTATTTTGGTTATCCCTGATAATAGGTCAAGTCTGATAGTCATTTGTGATAAATATTTAAGGCCTTGGCAAAAAACTTTGAGAATTTTTGCTCTAAAATTGAATGGTGGTGTAAAAGAAGGACTTGTGTTTTGTTATGTCAATGGTGACCTATTTTTTTTTTTACATGAAATGTGTTCAATATAGTAAATCATCTACGTTTCAACCTTGTCTTTTCATCATGCTACTTCTTTTAACTACCTGGATTGACCTGTAGGGAGTTTTGTGAGATCGAAGGGAGGTGGCCAGTGCTTAGTTCACAAACACTGCAGATCCATGGGGAATGGCTGTGCCATTTTGCCCAATTTGGACAGCATTGTGACTCAGCATAAGTGTAGTGAGGTTATTATTCCCTTTTGTTTGCAGAAAAGGTTCACTAATCAGTTTAGATATTGTCCAACATGTGAGTGTTTTAATTGTTCAGGATCTAACCCATTCATGCTCATTTTTGATGCAAAGATCAGTCACTTTGCCTGTCACTTTAGGACCACGTGGCTGAATATTATAAGGCCACATAGTTTATTAATATGAGGCCTCATTTCTTGCCGCATAGCTCACCAAGATGAGACTACGTAGCTCACTAGTATGGGGTTGTGTCACCACTATGAGGTATTGTGATTCAAAAATAGTATGAGGGCATGCTACTCACAAGTATGCGGCCATGCTACTCATCAATATGAGGACTTGTGGCTCACTAATATGAGGTTTTGTAGCTTGCCAGTATGAGGCCATGTAGTTCACAAGTTTAAAGGTCATGTAACTCACCAATATGAGGCCATAAAGCTGGTTAAAATGAGACCATATAGTGGGCCAATATGAGTCAATGTAGCATGCCAATTTGAGGCATTATGATTTTCCAATATAAGCCCATGTGTGAGCAGCTTAATATGGCAAAGTTCAGACACAGACATAGTGTATAAATGGTATTATGTATCAGTTTTGTTGTCCTCATGACCATTTTCTACAGTAAGGAATAGGTCTGAGAATAGAGCAGATTCTACTCCACAACTCTGCCACTTACCAACTGTTAAATAACTAAAGGCCAAGAAGACCTGGCCTCAGCCTAACTATAGCAGTCACTTGGGATCTAGTAGCTTGTTGAGATTCAGTGCAGGACAGTGTAGGCAGGTCAGTACACATCATTCTAGTTGTTCTGCTGTCCTAGACCTGGGTCTATATTATTTACCTAAATCTCACATTGTCCAAATTCTTATATCATCATACAGAATTTTAAATGCTCTAAATTTGTGTCTCTTTTTTGCTTTACTTCAATTGTACAGAGATATGATTGCAACTGGGTGTGAAGATAAAAATGTGAGAGTTTATTATTTGGCCACCAGTTCTGACCAGCCTCTGAAGGTGTTTACTGGACATACAGCAAAAGTGTTCCACGTTCGCTGGTCTCCTCTTAGAGAAGGAATCCTCTGCAGTGGTTCAGACGATGGGTAGGTCATTTTTTTGGGTGGGAGTGTTTCAAGGTTTTCTATTTATCTTTAAGGCTACACTCACATGGCCGTAAAAATTTTACTGATGTTTTTCTGTAACGAGTTTCTGTGTAAATGATACTTTTATCTGTGTATATGATACTTTTTTACTGATGCTTTTAGATCCATTTATGTAAGTAAAATTGTTCTGTTTTTTTTCAATACCAGAATGCATACTGTATATATGTTCTCAGAGGCAGATTTTTGGACTTTGTGCTAGGAAATTGAACGCAGCGTATGTTTATGCACCTGTGTGAATGTCTCCATTGAAAACAATGCAGCTTTGTTCAGATCAGTAAATAAAGAAACGCTTGTAAATGCAATTTTTACAGCCGTATGAATGTAGTCTAAATATGTGAACAGAAAAAACAACTGGTAAAGCAGCTTATCAGAAAAAATGTCCAAGAATGTATGACAATGTAGCAGATACCTTCCGGGACATTCACAAAACATGCATCCCCAGGCTTTGTTTTGTGAACAGAAAATTATGTAAAAAATAATGATTTAAAAAATAATGCTCTTTAGCAAAGGAATATACATTCCACATGAATTAATATGCCATCAAAGTTACCGGTAGTGTGTGCGATAAATTGACTCCAGCATTTTTCCTATTACTTCTTGCTGGAGGTTGCCATTTTGTTGAAGCCCAGAGCCTCTGATCAGCAGTAAATCTTTAGGCTGTCAGCAGATCAGTCTCTACATTTTCAGCAAAGTGTAGAAAAATAGAGAGCAACTGAGCATGTGCAGAGCTGGGTGAGAGTATTACTGGATTTTAAACAGTATAGGCACTTATTTTTAATGTTTTACATAGCTATACCTGCAAAAGGGGTCAGCCTTAAAGTGGAACTTCACCCATAACAACTTGATAAAACATAATGGTCTTTAGCAAGGAACATACATTCCACATTAATATTTATGCTATCAAAATTAGTGCATGCTCTAAATTTCCTCCAGCATTGCTCTTGTTTCTTCTTGCTGGAGGCTGTCATTTTGCTGAAGCCCAGAGCCCCTGAGCATCAATAAATCATAAAGCAGAACTAAACCCATTGATTTACCAGTTTAAAAATAAAGTTACATTACTGGAATGCCAGGATTGCTTACTGTAACATTTGCTTGTGCTCTCAACCAAACTATCAAACCATCAAATGGATGATGTCACATGTACAGCATCATGGCAGTTGCAGATCAAACAGAAGCAGCTTCCTTGGCTGTAAAAGATAAGTTTAATTCTTCTTTAAGGCTGTCAGCAAAGCAGCCTCTAGAAATTTGTCAGTGCCTAAAAATGCCTAAAAATTCAGAGCAACTCAGCATGTGCAGAGCAAGGTGAGACATCGTATTGCTGGATTTCAAACTGTATAGGCACTTAATTTTAATTTTTAACAAAGCTATACCTGCAAAACAGGCCAGCGTGAAGTGATCTAACAGGACTTAATTTTCTGATTAAAGTTCCACTTCAGTATACAGTGAGGAAAGTATTTATTTGATCCCCTGCAAATTTTGAAAGTTTACACACTTACAAAGAAATGAAGGGTCTATCATTTTTTTTCATAGATGTATTTTAAATGATAGATACAGAATATCTACCAAAAATCCAGAACAAACACATGGTACAAATGTTATAAATTGAGTTGCAGTTCAGTGAGTAAAATAGGTATTTGATCCACTACCAACCAACAACAATTCTGACTCCTACAGACTGGCTATGTGCTCATGTGGTATACAGACTAGTCCTGTCAATATAAGAAGATGGTCCTAACAACAACTTGTTATGTGTGTAAAAGACACCTGTCCACAGAATCTCTTTCTTGGGCACCACCATGTGCAAGACCAAAGAGCTGTCAATGGACATCAGGGACAAGATTGTAGACCTGCACAAGACTGGAATGGGCTACAAGACCATCAGCAAGACGCTTAGTGAGAAGGAGACAACTGTTGGAGCGATTATTTGCAAATGGAAGAAATACAAAATAACAATCACCCTCGGTCTGGAGCTCCATGCATGTTTTCGCCTCAGGGGGTAAGGATGATCATGAGAAAAGTGAGGGATCCGTCCAGGACTACACGGGAGGAGCTTGTGAATGATCTCCAGGCAGTTGGGGCCACAGTCACCAAACAACCCATAGGTAACACAATACGCCACCATGGATTGAAATCCTGCTGCGCCCGCAAGGTCCCCCTCTTTAAGAAGGCACATGTACAGTCTGAAGTTTGCCAATGAACATCTAAATCATTCAGAGAAGGATTGGGAGAAAGTGCTGTGGTTAGATAAGACCAAAATTGAGCACTTTGGCTTTAACTCAACTTGCTGTGTTTGGAGGAAACAAAATGCTGACTATGACCCTAAGAACACCATCCTTACAGTCAAGCACAGAGGTGGAAACATTATGATTTGGGGCTGTTTCTCTGCTAAAGGTACAGGTTGACTTTTCCGTATTGAGGGGCTAATGGACGGGGCCATATATTGTAAAATCTTGGATGAGAATCTTCTTCTCTCAGCCAAAACACTGAAGATGGGTCGTGGATGGGTGTTCCAGCATGATAATGACCCAAAACATACACCAATGCAACAAAGGAGTGGCTCAAGAAGAAGCAAATTAAGGTCATGGAGTGGCCTAGCCAGTCTCCAGACCTTAACCCTATAGAAAATGTATGGAGAGAGCTGAAATTTTGAAACCCTAAGAATTTAGAGACGATCTGTAAAGAAGAGTGGACCAAAATCCCTCCTGAGATGAGTGCAAACCTGGTAACCAACTACAAGAAACATCTTAACTCTGTGCTTGCCAACAAGGGTTTCTCCACCAAGTACTAAATCATGTTTTGCTTGGGGATCAAATACTTACAGTATTTTTCTCACTGATCTGCAACTCACTTTATAACATTTGTATCGTGGTTTTTTTTTTGGGCTGATATTATGTATCATTTAAAATACACATATGATAAAAAATTATAGACCCTTCATTTCTTTGTAGGTGTGCAAATTTACAAAATCTGCAGGGGATCAAATAATTATTTTCCCCACTGTAATGGCAATGATCAGCTGTTCCTGATCAAAAATCATAATTTTTGTGTTCTGTTTCTTTTATGTCTGTACATTATTTCCATGTTGTCAATCCAGTAGTCTCAGCACTCTCTCATGCTGCATGATGACACTAGGGAACTCTAGACACAGTTGTGACTGTGCTCACTGACATTGTTTTATGGAATTAGCTGCCTTTCATAGGCACAGTTCTAATTCTGTAAACAGCCCAGTTTCTATGATTTCCCTTATGGCAACAAACACAAGGAAGTAAAGATAATGTATATGATTTACGGGTTTATTTATTTTACCACTCAGTTTTACCAAATGGAATGTGAAAGAAAAACGTTTTTTGTTATACAGTCTGTAATGTTTAGGGTAATGCTACTAAATAAGTATTGCTTTTTTATAATTCTAGATTGGAGGAAAACGTGGTTTTACAAGAACTCTGTATGTGTTAAAGCGCATCTACAGTCAAAATGTAAAATTATATATCCATTATTTCTAGCCTATTAATCTGAACAACCTTGAAGTTTGTAAACATTCTTTGTAAAGATCCCTACACATTTCTTTCCTTGAATTCTGTGACACATATTCACTAGGCCCTGTGTGTAGGCACTGCTGTGTCACACAATTCCTTTTCCAATAATGTTTATTGAAAACAAGTTTTTCAAGACAGTATTGTACAAGATTCAGCAAAATGAATGACAGATAACAGCTACATATCGTTAATCATCAAGAAAGGATCCTTCCCTCCACTCCTCACTATGCAACAGGTCAGCACCATGAAGATGATGACCATCATTAGCTGTGCCTTAAGGAGTGGGGTACTTCTTGTTGACAATACAGAAATGACCCATCTATGCCTAGGTAGAGGACATAGGAGTTCAGTATCACAGAATAACCAACAGGTACACATATTGTGTGAGGAGACTAATAAATGGGAAGGTAAAGTAATCTATGACTAGACAACCACATGAAGTTCCCTGTAACCATCTATCACCATATTGGATTAGGGAATCCTTCAGACTTGTACCAATACATTAGTACAACATCAGTAGAAGAGTCAGGATATAGAGAGAAAAGAGAATGAAAGAGAAGTTAAGAGAAAGTATCAAAAAGAAGTATAAAGAATGAGATTGATTGCCCCATTCCTACCTACCAACCCCCAGTCCCCCCCGCCCACTAGGGAGATTGAAGATACCTGATCCAGGGATTCCAAATCTTTTCGAATGGGGGCTGTTTATCCTGGAGGATACTGACCAATGTTTCATTAATCATGATCCAGGAGATTTTGTGTTTGACTAGTGCCAGGTTGACCACAGGTGTTTTCCACTATTTTGTCTGAGGTTCAGGACAGAGTTATTTTTATGTTGGGGGAGCAGATCGGATAGCTCTTTCTTTTTTGCTAATAAGGGTGTTAGAGACTTTTTTGAGTTGTGCTGCTATTTGGATAATGTATCCCCTGATAGTCACCTTATGAGACTCCCAGTTAGTTACTGCAGAGGTATCTGAGGGCCTATTCTGGGTAAAGTAGTCTGTAAGGTGTTCTATGTCAAAACAATGATACAATGATTAAAGAAAAAAATTATCTTACCAGGCCTGTGTCTTAGAATATGTAAATAAGGGGAGGAGAGCTCACCACAAAATCCAAAATCAAAAATACTTTGCACATAAAAAGATGGCTTCTGCTCAACAACTCAAACCCAAAATATTTGAAACGTAAAGAGAAAAATCTAATTTGTGATTAAATATTGACAGAGATCATTGACCGCAATAATAAACTTGTAATAGTTAAAATAACACATAAGCACAATTACATAAACCCAATATAAAAGAAAATTATGGGTCAGTGGTAGTGACCCTGGATCCAATCAAATCAAATGTCATCCATATAATATGTTTCATTAATAATTACATTCTATAAATATGTTGTTATTGGTTGGACTGAGAGCTCTCAGAGAAGAGGGACAGACATAGAAAGTAAAGAAATGCAGGAAAAAGAGTGGCCACTAAAAAATGCAGCTGCTATACTGGTGTATCTCCTCCCTGTCCGTTGCTCATCTTGTGTAAAGATATGCTGGATAAGCCATAAGGATACAAGATGTAATGAAGATCAAGGAATGAACTAGTAGAAATAGAAATAACTAAATTGTGATTTCACTGGATCAATTGCATTGAGCCATCCTTAATAAAGGTGTATGGTTATAGAGTGTCCTGGTCAGGAAAGGAGCAGCTGATGTAATCCAGAGGAGAAAAATAAGATGTGAAGACTGCCTATGGATGTAGATCCACTTTCATATGTATAGACAGATACCTCCCTCATACATAAAGCCGCTTGGAGCGATATATGCTCCTGTGCAAGTAAGCATCAATAATGCGGGTTCAAAAAACAGGCACATATCTCAACGATGGTGCAATGAAGATGACCACATCAGAGACTCAGCCTCTCATGCAGCTGGGGGGGGGGGGAGGTCAGGCAGGGTCATTGGTCGTACCTGGATTTATGCTGTGTCTATGTACCATGGGCTGATAAGTATACTTTTCTCTCACACCTTGACAAGAAAGACTATATTCTGAATTCATGGAATGAAATGTGGTCATCTTCATTGCACCATCGATGGCTTAATGCAATACCAGCTGCATTTTTTAGTGGCCACTTTTTTTTCCTGCATTTCTTTGCTTTCTATGTCTGTCCCTCTTCTCTGAGAGCTCTCAGTCCAACCAATAACAACATATTGTAATTGTACTGTCTCCCTTATATTGTAAAGTGCTGCGCAAACTGTTGGCGCTATATAAATCCTGTATAATAATAATAATCTATAGAATGTAATTATTAATGAAACATATTATATGGATGACATTTGATTCATTGGATCCAGGGTCACTACCACTGACCCATAACTTTATTTTATATTGAGTTTGTGTAATTGTGCTTATGTGTTATTTTAACTAATAAAAGTTTATTATTGCTGTCAATGATCTCTGTCAATATTTAATCACAAATTAGATTTTTCTCTTTATGTTTCAAATATTTGGGGTTTGAGATGTTGAGCAAAAGCCATTTTTTATGTGCGCAGTATTTTTGATTTTGAATTTTGTGGTGAGCTCTCCTCCCCTTATTTACATATTCTAAAACACAAGCCTGGTAGGATAATTTTTTTCTGTCAAAACAAATTTAAGGATTGCTAAGTAATGAGTCATTTAATCTCCAAGATGTTGGACCAGTGTGGCATTGTAGCGTGTCACATGTCATCCATAGCAGTGAATAGTCTGACCGTGCCACGTCAACTATTCTGCTTGAGCAGAATAAAGGTACGGCCATAGCGGACTTTAGGAGATGGTATATTCTAGAACAGGTATTGTGAATGTGTGAAAAAATGTATAGTCTTTCCTGGATGGGTTGAGTTCCAAATTTCAATTAAATTGTGATAATGTAACATTTTGGCCAACTTTGAGCCAATTTTTGGGAAGTGTCTTTGAGAGTCTGTGGGATGCTGCATTTTATCAATTATAGCGTTAAGGGCCACATTGGACTCCCTCCTAAAGAAAACAGTTTTCCTCAACTCTGGGGTCACGGTGTGCAAGAGTTTCTGAAAAAAGGGTAATTGTCCCGTGTTTGGAGCATAGTTGGAGATCAAGGTAACCAGGGAGCCTTCCAAGTGGCGCACCAGGGCTTGTTAGCTACCCTCCACCAATGAGCTTCTCCAATGAGAATGATACCCTCTTGCAAAAACAAATTGCCACCCCACCCGTTTAACCTGGGCCATTTGCTAAGTAGAACTGAGGATAGTAATTGTGTAAGAATTTTGGATTATAGGTCGGGGCAAAAAATGTGTTTCCTGCAGGAACAACACATCCACCTTCAAAGACTTATAGTGTTGGAAAGCTGTCTGTATTTTGGTTGGGGAGCTCAGGCCCTGAACATTATGTGTGACAAATTTAAAGGGAATTCTATCTGTGGAGTTGGACATGGTGCACAGGGGAAAGAGATGTATCACTTACCTTTACCCTGGGTGGGGTTAGGTGTTGGTCCTTGATGGGTCGGAGTGACCAGTAGTGTGGCACCCAGGTTTGTGTGATCTAAAAATGATAAGCAAAAAAAACTGTGCAGATTGGAATAGAGATAAGAAACTACAGAGAGCAGGTCAAGTAGAGTTTGCCCTGTAAGAGCAAAAAAACATAAATTAGCTGTATTGCAATCTTAATCTGATCAAACAAGAGCAGACAGGGAAATTCCCTCTTTCCTTCCAGTACCAACACAGGGTGCAACCCCTGTGCTAGGTTTGGTTTCTGTCCTAACAGCTAGTGAGAGAGTCGAAAGCAAACGGTGAATGACCACCATCACCGGCCACCACTACACTCTTGTAACATTAACATCATTACATATAATGTAACCATAGGGAGAGAAAGTCCTAAACATTCCAATAATTTCAAACAAATAGGTAGTCCCGTCTTGAAAAAATGTGGATATGGAGTCCCATATCTATAGGAAAATACAAGTCACACTCCCCCATGGGTAGTAACGCTGGTGTTCAACACTGGAGGGACTGGGGTTGGAATCTTTTATTACACATGGATTCGTGTCCCACTAAAGATAAGCCTCTGCAGCTGTGTGGGGTCAGGAGAGGGGAAGATTTCTTGTAACTTGGAGGCATCCAGAAGGAAACACATTTATAAACAGTCCTTTCTCAAACTTAGGGAACTTCCTTCCCAAAACTGAGAACAAAAAGTTAAAAATCAGTAATAGGATCCAATTGTGATCTCGCCCATGGATCTGGCTAGGTAGTAGGGACAAGAAAAGGCATAGACCTATAAAGAGTGAGAACAATCATCCTCCTACATGGAGGTTTAGCTTTAAGTTTGGCCTTGCTTCTGGTGGAGTACCACACTGGAAAAGGTGGGCTCCGTGGAGGTTTGCCAGGGGAGTAAGTGGTTAAATAGAGCGAGGAGACCTTCCATGGTCAGTAGAAATCAAGCCGAGTTTTTCAGCAAGGTTTCCCCATCGTGGAAGGTGGAGAAGGAGTACTTCTTGCCCTGATTTGTGAAAAACAGGCGAAATAGGAAGGCCCAATGATATTTAACGATCTTGATTATAAGGTGTTGGTGTAAAGGCTTTAGTTTTTGGACCATGGCAGGAGAGATGTCTGCAAAAATTTGGATTGGGTGATCTCTTAGCTGTAGATCCACAATTTCCCAAGCTCTTGCCTCACCTACTCCTTGACTGTATAGTAGTGAAGTTTCACTATGATGTCATGTGGTAAGCCGTCAGCCCTGGGTTCTGCCAAGGCCCTCTGTGCTCTGTCTAGATGGTGGAATGTCTGCTGGAAGCTGTAAGGTCAATTCCTTAATTATTGCTGTAGAGTCAATGAAAGTTTCCGGGACCCTCGAACTCCGACATTATAACGGTGGGGTCGATTTTCTAGATCATTGAACTTATTAAGGGCTTCCTCCTGTTGTTGTAAATCTTCAATGGAGTTAGTATTTTGATTGGTTCTGGCAATAGTCTCGTCAAGATGGATTCTATTGTCCCTATGTGGGATCCTAGCTCCTGAAACTCCTGTTTCAAGTCTGAAGTGATGCGTTTGCTGGTGTTTTCCAGGCGTTGGTCTAGCAATGCAGAGAAATGTGCCAAAATGATAAGGTCCCCCAAATACTCCAATGGTGGAGTGTCCTGGGCATTAGGTGTGTGGGGAGGGCTGTTTTACATGCTCCCCTGGCTTAGGATTACCTCACAAAGTGCCTTATCCATATCAGAGGCCTGAGAGGAAAATAGATCACCTGCAGGAGAAGAGGGTGTATCATGGGAATGGTTAGTAATCTCACCCATCCCTGCTGATTGTGACTCCTCTCGGGGCTGTGTTTAGGTAATTAGCTGCAGGCGTTGTGATTGTGGTGGGGCTGGCGCCATCTTGTCAGGATGGGCGCATGCTGCTGTATCGTTTGGCTGCGGCTGTGGAGGTAATCTCGGCCTGCCTTTGGCCATATACTGTGTTCCTGGGTGGCAGGAGTTTGAGCAGGTGATAGCGAAGAGCGGGCGGGATTACTGTCTGCCTGGGTCAGCAAGGAGTGGAGCTGAGGCTTCACAGGTCTGCCATCTCCAGCCACATACATGCGCCCCTGCTGTGTCACACATTTCACAGAGCTTGCCTTCTGAACTACAGAGTGGCTGAGAGGAGGAGTTTGAGGAGGCAAGGTCAGTACAGGAATCACTGATTGCAGGCAGCAATGTACTATGGGATATTTAGTTCTTAGAAATTGAAAGTAAACAAGAAAGGAGAAGCTGCAAAGCAAGCAGGGAATCCAGGAAGTTGTGGAAAGTGATGACCAACAGGCAGGCAGCTCTCACAGCATGAAAGTAGATTTTTCAAATAAGCTTATAGTGGATTGTCAAAAATAATTATTGTTTGTATTGTTATTACAATGCTGATGTTATAAAATGTGTATGCTGTGGCCATAGAATTCCTTTAATGAAACTGTACTATTGTTTTCAGAACTGTGAGGATATGGGACTACACACAAGATGCTTGCATAAATGTTCTAAGTGGCCATACAGCTCCAGTTCGAGGACTGATGTGGAATACAGAGATCCCGTACCTTTTAATATCTGGCAGTTGGGATTACACAATTCGAGTGTGGGATACAAGGGATGGGACGTGTCTGGACACTGTATATGACCATGGGGCAGATGTATACGGTACGTTATTTTTCTACACCATAATATCTGGGCATTTGTACTTTAGTTATACAACCGGTTTTATCCTTCCTTAGCACTGATTTATTTAAATAGTATGTAATTTGCTAAATATTGCTGAATACCTTACATTTTTGAGTGTATTTATTAAGGATTCAGTTATGAAATTCCTTCAGCATTCCCCTACTTTTAAACTAAGGTTCAATTTTCCACATTCCCTGAATGTATCACTTTGGTTTTCTATTGGAAAGCTGCTGCAGATATGACTCTTTTTATTATGTTGCTGGAGCCTTTTTGATTTATCGGAAAACAACAATAACACATAGACAGGAAATTACATAATAACCATGTAGTTCCAAAGAGAGACTGATATATTATACAAACATTTCAGCTGACACTACCACCTAGTGGCAGAACTAGTAATCACAGGATATTAAATGGGAATGGAATAAGTCCCATCTTCTTTGGTAGTATTTTTAATAGCATTCCAGTCCCATTGCCATGGTTCATTTCTGCAACTCATGGCAACTTATATATATTTGGATGTTTTAGACCTTGCAGTGTTTAAAAATACACCACTGCTTGTCTGTACAGTCCATTATTGAGTAGAAGATCATCTTCTCCTTCCAACTTTAGGTAAGCAGTTTCCATTGAAGTGGCTACACCATTGCATTCTGCCAGCTCCAAAGCATGAGCTGTTTGTGTGATGCCATCTCTTCCTCTGCAGCTTTAATCAATATTTGCTTTTCATGAACAGGTAGCTGTTGAAAAAGAGAGTACATCCAAAATTTGGAGTTGTTATACCAGGAATATAGGGGATATCTTTCAATGGAGACACTTGTACCCATGGCAACTGTCTGAAAAAAAAAAATCTGACAGAGGTTTTAGTCCTCTCCTACAGTATCCAAAATAAAAACGTTTTAACTTTAGATATACTTTAACCTCCCTGGCGGTAATCCCGAGTGTGGCTTGGGGTTAATTTTCAGTACCAAAAGCAATAACCCTGAGCCACACTCAGGATTACACTGTAGTGTGTGTTTAGTGTAATTTACCTTGTTCCTGCGATCCCCTGATGTCCTCCCACTGTGTCCTCCGGCCGATGTCCTCCCACTGTGTCCTCCGCCGATGTCCTCCCACTGTGTCCTCCAGCCGATGTCCTCCCACTGTGTCCTCCAGCCGATCCCGGCATCCGTCTTCCAGGTTCCCTTCCCTGCTAGTGCCGCAACGCAGGGGGGCGGAACTGACAGGCGAGTCAAAAAAGCAAAAACATGAAATACATACAACACATTGTAATCTGTTAGGATTACATTACTGTATCAAACCATTTCATCTATATTTTGTCCCTGGTGCTCTGTCCATTGCCCTACCTGCACTTTTACCGTTCTTTCTGCCTGGAAACTTGAGAACGTCCATGGCATCCAAAAAGTGTCCCTTTAGGTCAAAAGCGGTTTTAGACCAGCTAGAGAACAGCGATAGTGAATTAGAATCACTTGCAGAATTGAGCGATAGTGATTCGTGGGGAAATTCTTCATCAGACACTGAAATTTCCATGTAAAACAATATACCGCTTTGACATTCAAAAATATTGACATAATCAGACCGCCAGGGAGGTTAAAACACCTTTCTGGTGGAATCCAGAATGTTCCAGGATTAGCTAGAAGAATATTAACCCCAGTGTAATTTAATGTGCAGCTTCAAAAACAACTTCTTTGGGTTTTGTAAGTATATGGTTACATGTATGATCTGGTGTTTTTACTGTACAAGGACCCCAGTTTCTGCTTTAGCAGGATAATATCCTACATCATCACAGTATGATTGTAAAAGAAGCCAGAGCCTCGGTTAAAAAATGCTGAGACCTCAACTACTAACAAATGTTTGAATTTCGAGCTGAGGGAGCTCACCGACCCTGCAAAGAAAGCTTATTTATGACGATTGAATTGTGAACTTTAGTTATGACCAGTAGCTCATAATTATAAAGAGCAAGTGCAAGGTCAAAATGTTTTCTGCAGTCTTAAATTACATGTTGCACCTCAAACATGACTAGTATCCACAAAACGGCAGTTACTAATCTAGCCTGCTCATTGTTTATGCACCGTCTGCCTTAACCAATGATACACTGCTTTTCAGGCTTAACCTGCCATCCTAATCGACCATTCACTATGGCATCTATGTGCTCCCGGACTCCACAGTTCGCCTCTGGTCTCTAACACCATTGATTTCACCTTTACAAATAAACATCCTGGCAGATCGTCCTTGGAAGAAATTATTGGTGGTAACACTGGTATGTTTATGAATTTTTATTATTAGATATTGCATTCATATGACAATGACACGTTGGCTAACAGTTAAATGAAAACACACACAAAAAAGCCTATTGACTGTATACATATATATGTAATTCTATTTTAAAAATATTTGCAATATGTACAGTATATAGGACTTTTTAATATACCCATATATGATTAAACATCAAGGGAAAATTGCAGCAAAGATAATATATAAATAATAGTGCCGCGCATATATCTCTATAACCTCATATATGAATTAAAGCATCCAGACCATGTGATTATGCAACAACGGTGAATACATTGAAAAGTCCATAATGTGTGCATGATCCATGCCTTTATCATTTATTCACAAACAGGTGTTCTTTATTGCTTATATCCACATATATTCTATAGATGCTGCTCCACCAGAGACATACATAAATACTGTCACCTCCTTTTATGACCCTAATTGCATAGGTCAAATACCGCCTTTCCCTTTTAACCCGGGTAGGTATACTGTATAGATGACTCCACTTTCCTCCTCACTCTGCTGCAAATGGTGCCGCCTCCTCTTTATCCCACAAATCCTCTGCATATGTAAACAGAAACGCTTGCCATAGTGTAGTATATAAATATAGCATGATTTATTAAAAAAAAGTTCATTCACATTTAAAAGTGTCCTACTGGGACACCACAGTAAAAAAAAAAAACTTGTTATAATGTATTTTCAATGTGTTCAGGAATTTCCAAGATGGCGTCTCGTAAACTTCCAGTTTAGCGGCTTGACCTCATCGACCCACCCTACGCGTTACGTCACGTGACTGAGGAAGTCACATTGTTTTTTGAGGGTTTTTTTTTTTTTACTTCAGTTACTGGAACAAACAAACATCCATTCAGATTACACTAAAATTCCCTCTAAATTGTCCCTATAAAATATCACAGGAAATAACTCTAATCAGTTCCATAAAAGAATCATGTTCACTAAGTCCTAGGAAAAGCTGCTAAACCTAAGTTGATTGAAATTTTGAAGTCAGTATAAACTATGCATAATCAAAGTGTGAAGTCCAAGCTATAAAAAGCATGAAGTGAGAAGTTTCAGAGAACTGTGATAATCACCCAAAAGTTTGGTGTGAAGTGCCTTATAAATAGGCCCATAGCCTCTCAGTGATGAAGAGGTCTTGGTAGGATACATTTAAAGCTCAGAGATTTCAAAATGTTCGTATTACTAAGCCAAACTTTTCTTTCATAGGTGTGTCACTTTTATTTGGGTATTTAAAGGTCTTAGTGGTGCCAGTGAGAACTTATCTGAGAGGCAGAAATTGCTAATTGCTCAAGGAACCCCTGGCAGCCAATGGAGGAACCCTGGTTGAAAAACCCTGCTCTAGAGAATAGGACAGAATGTTCAGGAATATTGTTCCTAGTTCCATCAAGCTGAAACCTCCCTCTGGACAAGAAGGTGATCTTAGTGAAGTGAGCTCAGGCATCAGTACTCACTGGAAAAGCCCTTGGTTTGGGAGGCAGCTGTCCTTTTAAAGAAACAAGCTTTTCTCCTATTGTTCCACCTTTTTATGATATGTTGGTATAAGTACTATGCCGATCCAATAGGGGGGATTTACTAAAACTGGAGAGTGCAAAGCCTTGTGCAGCTCTGCATAGAAAACAAGCAGCTTCCATTTTTTTTTTTCTGTCAAAGCTTAATTGAACAAACTGAAGTTAGAAGCTGATTGGCTACCATGCACAGCTGCACCAGATTCTGAGTGCTCTAGTTTTAGAAAATCCTCCAATGTGTCTCGATGATGATGAGACATATGCTGCTTTTGGCCCAAATTTGGTAGTTTTGTTAGCAATAAGCACCTGTTTCTGTTGTGCTGTGGTCAGTACGGCCATACATGTGGAGAACGAGGCAGACTGTTTGCAAATCTAGCAATCTGGGGACATTTTCTAGATTTTATCCAACCTCTGTCATTGCCTTTCTGTTGATGCTTTTAGTGTCTAAATCAGTGGTCTCCAAACTGGCCTAGGGGCCAGATGAGGCTGTTTGCTTGCCTTTATTCATCATTTGGGCAGCAACAATGGGACACTGTTCCTTCCACTGACACCAGTGATGGAGCACTATTCCTTCCCATGATATCAACGATTGGCACTATTTCTCCCACTAATACCAATGATGAATCAGTGTATACTCCCATTGATGCCAAAGCATTTTCTACTCACACTGACCATATTCTGGCCCCGAGAGAGTCTGAAGGACAGTAAACTGGCCCATTGTTTAGAAAGTCTGGAGACTCCTGGTCTAGATCATGAGAGCTGGGAATTTAACAGATAGCCATTTAGCTAAGTCATTCAACCTGGAAGACTGATAACATACTGGGAGTGCAGGGAGGCATGGACCCACCCCTTGAGGTGCATCATTACAGTGCATCATTAAGATGCACAGAGCAGTGCAGAAGTCATCATGTCAGCACCACTCTCTATATACTTGAGTACTTTCAGAAGGGCCTTAAAGTAATTCTAAAGGCTAAGGGTTTTTTACCTTCATACATTCTATGCATAATGGTAAAAAACCTTCAGTGTGTAACTCCCATCTTAGCCCCCCACCCCATCCCCAATATTTTCCAGAGCCTGATCTCGATTTAGCAACGTGTGCAGAAGCAGTGGCTCTCCTGTGTCTCTCCCTCCTCTTTGGCTGAGACACAGCAGCAGGAGCCATTGGCTCCCCCTGCTGCCAATCACAGCCAGTGAGGAGAGAGTGGGGGGGGCGGTACCGAGCCACGCTCTGTGGGTCTTATAGACACATACAGGCAGCTCGCAAGCAAACACGCATGAGTGCCACCAGAACAAGCCACAAGAGCAAGGGGGAGGAGCCAGGAGTGTTAGCGGGGGACCCGAGAAGAGGAGGATCGGGGCCGCTCTTTGTAAAACCATTGCACAGAGCAGATAAGTATGACATGCTTGTTATTTAAAAAAAAAATGTGAACCTTTATCCCTTTAAGGAGGAGATCGATTGGTGAGCTGGGTCAGAGTCCAGAGCTGGTCCTCACAACATATACAATTGCACATTGTTGCTATATATTTTACTGGTTTCAGTCATTTTTTTCCCTAATTTTGGTGATATTGAAAGGGCTGCTATAAAGTCGTTCATTTATTTTGGGTCTCAAGCTACCATATGATGTCTTTTAGTGGCTTTAATTCAGTTATGATGTTGGACTATGATGGATGGAATTGAAACTGAATAAGAAAATACATTAATCAAGTTCTGCTTTGTCACATTTTGACTCACAGTGGATTTGCTTTTGGTCTGTTGGTTATTTTATTGTCAAATTCTACTTCTTTATGTCACTTTTTTCCCCTGTAGATCGTGCCATGGAGCCTGGTGCTCCACCGTTACTGTGCGGAAAAGTATCCCGTGATATCAAACAAGAAGTAGACAAACTGACTGGCAACCTCAGAGGGAAGAAATTAAGATGGTTTTCAGAATGTCTCTCTGTAAGTGAAACCATAAGTGATACAGGATTACAATAACGTCAGAATACAAATTTTTCTAGGTGATTTTAGGGAAATATATATATTATATATATATATATATATATATATATATATATATATATATATAGTTGTGTTCAAACTAATAGCAGTGTGTTGAAAAAAGTGAATAAAGCTCAAAATCCTTCTAATAGCTTTTATTTCCATACACACAAATGCATTGGGAACACTACACATTCTATTCCAAATCAAAACATGAAGAAAAATATATCAATTTTGTGTTGTTCCTCTAAAAAAATTGAAGAAAAGTGAATATTAGACTGTTCAAAAAAATAGCAGTGTTGGTATTCTTCTTTACAAACTCAAACATTCACTATATAAACTGAAAAATGTTTGAAGATTTTGCTTTCCTTTGAATCACTTAATATTTAATTGTATAAGCACTGTTTCTGAGAACTGCTGTACATCTGTGTTGCATGGAGTCAACCAACTTCTGGCACCTGTGAACAGGTATTCCAGCCCAGGATGATTGGACTACATTCCACAGTTCTTCTCTATTTCTTGGTTTTGCCTCAGAAACTGCATTTTTGATGTCACCCCACAAGTTTTCTATTGGATTAAGATTTGGGGATTGGGCTGGCCACTCCATAACGTCAATCTTGTTGGTCTGGAACCAAGGTGTTGCACGTTTACTGGTGTGTTTGGGGTCATTGTCTTGTTGGAACGCCCATTTCAAGGGCATTTCCTCTTCAGCATAAGGCAGCATGACCTCTTCAAGTATTCTGATGTATTCAAACTGATCCATGATCCCTGGTATGCGATAAATAGGCCCAACACCGTAGTATGAGAAACATCCCGATATCATGATGCTTGCGCAATCATGCTTCACTGTCTTCACAGTGTACTGTGGCTTGAATTCAGTGTTTGGGGGTTGTCTGACAAACTGTCTCCGGCCACTAGACCCAAAAAGAACAATCTTACTTTCATCAGTCCACAAAATGTTGCGCCATTTCTCTTTAGGCCAGTCAATGTGCTCTTTGGCAAATTGTAACCTCTTCAGCACATGTCTTTTTTTTTCAACAGTGGGACTTTGCGGGGGCTTCTTGCAGATAGCTTGGCTTCACATAGGCGTCTTCTAATTGTAACAGTACTCACAGGTAACTTTAGACCTTCTTTGATCTTCCTGGAGCTGATTGTTGGCTGAGTCCTTGCCATTTTGGCTATTCTTCTATCCATTCAAATGGTAGTTTTTTGCTTTCTTCCACGTCTTTCAGGTTTTGGTTGCCATTTTAAAGCATTTGCGATCATTTTAGCTGAGCAGCCTATCACTTTCTGCACTTCTTTATGTTTTCCCCCCTCCAATCAACTTTTTAATCAAGGTACGCTGTTCTTCTGAACAATGTCTGGAACGACCCATTTTCCTCAGAATTTCAGAGAGAAATGCACTGTAATCAGCATGTACAACATTTGCTGCCTTCCTTCCTTAAATAAGGGCAATAATTGCCACCTGTTTTTTCAAAGAATGAATGACCTCACTAATAGAACTCCACACTGCTATTATTTTGAACATGCAGCAGCATTCATGTCATGACTGTTGGGTCTGTTGGATTTCTATTACTCTACTACACCTGCTAGTAAATTATTTGCCATGTAGAAATATCATTTCTACCAAAAACAGTGATTGATCAGGTTAGTGATGTCTGACTGCTATTATTTTGAACACAACTGTATATGCACACTGCTTAAAAAATTAAAGGAACACTTTGAGAACACATCAGATCTCAATGGGGAAAAATATCATGCTTGATATCTATACTGATATGGACTGGGTAATGTGTTAGGAACGTAAGGATGCCCCATTGTTTGATGGAAATGAAAATGATCAACCTACAGAGGACTGAAGTCAAAGACACTCCAAAAATCAGAGTGAAAAAATGATGCAGCAGGCTAGTCCATTTTGCTGAAATTTCATTGCAGCAACTCAAAATGGTACTCAGTAGTTTGTATGGCCCTCACGTGCTTGTATGCATGCCTAACAATGTCGGGGCATGCTTCTAATGAGATGACTGATGGTGTCCTGGGGTATTTCCTCCCAGATCTGGACCAGGGCTTCACGGATCTCCTGGACAGTCTGAGGTGCAACCTGGTGGCATCGGATGGACCGAAACATGATATCCCAGAGGTGTTCTATTGGATTTAGGTCAGGTGAGTGTCGGGGCCATTCAATGGTATCAATTTCTTAATCCTCCAGGAACTGCCTGCATACTCTTGTCACACGAGGCCAGGCATTGTCGTGCACCAGAAGGAGCTCAGGACCCACTGCACCAATGTAGGGTCTGACAATGGGTCCAAGGATTTTATCACGATACCTAATGGCAGTCGGTGCCATTGTCTAGCTTGTAGAGGTCTGCACATCCCTCCATGGATATGCTTCCTCAGACCATCACTGACCCATCACCAAAACGGTCATATTGAACGGCAGCATAACGTTCTCCACAGCTTCTCAGACCCTTTCACGTATGTCAAATGTGCTCAGGGTGAACCTGTTCTCATCTGTGAAAAGCACAGGGCACCAGAGGTGGACTTGCCATTTCTGGTGTTCAGTGGCAAATGCCAAACGTGCTCTATGGTGCCGGGCAGTGAGCACAGGACCCACTAGAGGACATTGGGCCCTCATGCCACTCTAATGAAGTTTGTTTCTGATTGTTTGGTCAGAGACATTCAAACAAGTGGACTTCTGAAGGTTATTTTGTAGGGCTCTAGCAATGATCATCCTGTTCCTCCTTGCACAAAGGAGCAGATAACGCTCTTGCTGATGGGTTAAGGACCTTCTACAGCCCTGTCCAGCTCTCCTAGAGTAACTGCCTGTCTCCTGGAATCTCCTCCATGCTCTTGAGACCGTGCTGGGAGACATAGCAAATCGTCTGACAATGGCACATACTGATGTGTCATCCGGGAGGAGTTGGACTGCCTGTGCAAGCTCTGTAGGGTTCAGGTATCACCTCATGCTACCAGTAATGATGCTGACCCTAGCAAAATGCAAAACTAGTGAAAAACAGAAAAGTTGATTAGGGAGAAAAAATGTCACCTGTAAAACCATTCCTGTTTTGGGGATTGTCTCATTGTTGCGCATCTAGTGCATCTGTTGTTAATTTCATGAACCCCAAAACAGCTGAAACTGTTTAACAACCCCCTCTGCTACTTAACTGACCAGATCAATATCCCAGGAGTTTAATTGACTTGATGCTATACTCTGATTAAAAAGTGTTCCTTTAATTTTTTTGAGCAGTGTATATATTTATTCAAAGATTGTTGCATGACATTCAGCATAGCTTTACCTGATTCACTAAGCTGAGTTCAAAAATCCTACGTTTTGTAATTCTCCTTGCACATGATAGGGTATGCTTTGCAAAGTGGTTTTCACTTAGCTTCACTCCATACACTGGGCTAGTGTACTATCAAAAAGCAGTCAGAGGTAAACAGGAACAGGTACATTCATTATGTTTTATTGATTAATTTGGTGTGTTGTCTAGAGTACACTTTTCATAGAATACAACTGTGTTTTGTACATGATTGAACAGTTTTATGGATTAAAAGAAAAACCATTTCTCTGCACACAGGAGAAACTTCTGCATAATCTTCAGGGAACTTTCCCCATACCTGACATATTCTCTCTTCTGTTTCTTAGCCTCCAGGAGGCAGTAAAAATTTATGGGACTTAGTAGCAGTGTTAAAAGGTCAAGATGACAGCCTTCTCCCACAAAACTACTGCAAAGGGATAATGCATATGAAGCATCTTGTCAGATTTAAGACAGTAAGTACTTTCATAAATGTTACTTATTCTGTGGCAGCACCCAAATATTGTAGAGTTCCCCTTAAGTTTTAACATATCTAACAGCATCTGTTTGCAAACCAAGTTTATCAGCTCACTCCCCCCTCCCTTATTTCCTATAATGTGTTCCAACCTGTAGCTGGCACCCTTATTTTCAGCTGAAGAAAATTGATCTAGCAAGACCATATTCTGCACTGCTTAGAAAGTCTTTTAAAATGTACAGAAAGTGAAAGAGGAAATATATGCATCGTGAGGTAATTGCTGATATGTATACCATGTAAGATGCTTTTTTCAAGGCACTTAGCTTTGCAGACATTAGTCTGGCTAGATCTCAAATTGGTTAATAAAGCTTGTTTTTCTCAAGTTCGTGTCCAGAGTTTTACCTGGCATTCCCAAAGTTGCCATTACAATTCTGCAGTCAAATGGTACACTGATTTCCAGTTTATTGTATTAACATAGCTCACCTTACTACAATGTCATCTAACCATTGGTATAGTTGTAAAAGATCTGTATAAATATTGGAGAAAAACTGAGACAATGCCAATAGCAAACTATTAAATTCTGCTATGGGATTTTAATATTACCTACAGCATACCTGTATTTTTTAATTGGCACAATTAGTTTCTTTAAAGCCCGACTCCAGGACTCCCAATCCCCACCCCAATTTCTGCTCCCACCTTCCCCATTTATTCCATGGGCCTAATTTCTGATTGTGTGATGTTGGGGTTCTACTTCCTCCAGCAGCGGGAGGGTCCTGAACGCAGAAGAGATCAGCACCATGTAATAACTTGGGGCTGTGTTTTACAACATTCTGCTATGAGTCCAGGGTGGTTTAATAATGCACTCTCTTGACACCCTGGGCTAACAGGAAGTTGGTTGAAAAATGCTGTATTGCTTTCAATTTAGACATGCGCCAACTCTTTCACAGAGCAGTCTGCAGAGGATAATGCCAGAGAGAAGGTGAGTATTGCAGCGAAATCTGCTTCTTTGTTTTTGCAGGGCCATAGGTTTTGCACGTTTTTAACTAAGCTGAAAGTAAACATTTAACTATATTGAAGACTTATTGAATATTAGAAATGTTTATATTTGGCGCACAAAGGATATTTCAGGTGTTCCAACTGTATTCTATTTGTACTTCTGATTGATGACCGCATTCTGCTAAAATTAAATAGTGGTACTCGATAAAATTTAAGCAAAGGGTAAAAACAATTTCCTATGAGCAGCAACAATCAATAGTCAAAAAAGTAAAAAAAAAGCACTGCCTAAGGGCAGATACAAAACATTCTGTTACCTTTGTTAGCTGGAAAAGCCTCTTCTTTGTGCCCCTCTGATCTTGTTTTCAGTTTGCAACTAAAGGGACTCTTGCACAAGGTAGTCACAGGCTTTATTCACTCAACCATAAACAATTGCATATACAAGTATTTTTAAATTATGGATCTGAATGCAGCTGCATTGTTTTTAACTGCGCCATTCACACAAGTGCATAAACATGAGCTGAGCAAAATCCAAAAATCTACGCCTGAGAACACTCAACATTTACGCATCTGTAAGCATGTAAACCAAGTCTAAAGAACAGGAAGAAATAACTTAAATAAAAACAAATTATGTATGCACACATTTCTTTATGCATTTAAGCACACCTCTATGCATGTATTTTACTAATCACTACACAGGAATTTTTCTCCTAGAAAACGTGTAATAATATCAGTAAAATTTTTAAGACTGGGTGAATGAGGCACTAATGCCACTATTTTTTTTTACTGATCTCAACACAGGTGCATTATTGTATGAAACAATGCACACAGATACATAAAAATCAGTGATGTATACAGTGCCATAAAAAAATTTAAATGTTACATTTATGTGCAGTAATTTACGCATGTATGCATGTATATGCTAGTATACAAGCGTGTATTGCAATACTGGCAGCTATATGAGGATGAAGAATTTTATGCATGTATACACATATGCACATTTACACCTAAGGTCTTTACATTTCCTCTCCTCAGCAAAGCACCTTTGTACCTTTGTACCATCACGCACCAAAAGCACCCACAGCATAGTGTGGTGCAGGGTGAAACTTAAGACTTTACAATAGTGAATTTGTTTTGCCAGTAAATGAAGATGAAACTGCTTGCAAACACATTGTACATGATCTGATGTATTCAGATGCATTCTGTGATATATTCAATGTAGCTGTATGAAGGAAAAAGAGGTGACTATGGCACAGATTTTATCATGTACCATTTTGTGTGCACATTCACATGCCAAAATTCACTAGTCCTTAAGCGTGAAGTATGGTCAAAGCTCTTTGGACCATACTTCTCCTGTGGGTCACAGGAGCGCACTTAGTTCTACACTCCTGTGGCCCAGATTCAGCTGACAGCAGGCAAAAGACTGCTGTTGGCTGACATGACAGCGCTGATGCAGACTTTGCAGGGATCCTGACAGTAATGTTGGGATCCACCCAGATGCCTGACTGGCAGCTGGCTCACCCTCTCAACGTTCCCCTGAGCCTGAGCCAGCTGCTCCCGCCTCCTCTCCAGCCCAGAGCTCCAGTGAGCGCTGGAGGGGCAGAACACAGAGTGGTGACTGACAGTCACCGCTCTGTGCTCAGAGCGGACCTGAGAACTGTGCAATCAGTGGTCTTTGATCACTCATTTCTGGGTGTTGAGCTGGTGGGGGGGGGGGGGGGGCAGATGCAGCATCGGAATGTTGCTGCATCCACCTAGGTGAGTATGTATGTTTTATTTTTTTAAATCCTGCACTTCTCTTTTAATAATAAAGTGAAGTCTGGATTAAATGGATGCACAGAAGAGGCTTTTACGGCTAACAACAATAATTGCAAGAACTTTGTTATACCTTCTCTTGGGCAGGGCTTTCACTTTACACATTTTATATTCATTGTGATCGTTTTTTATACTAGCATTTAGCAGCGTTTAGGAGAATGTACCAGTTTTTCTGCCAGAAAAATGCTTTCAGAAATGCAAAACAAAAGGTTTTTTTTTTTCCTGCCTCTAAATGCTGAGCATAAAAAACACCTCTAGACTATCTAACGTGCATGGACTCAATGGATAACATCAGTTGCTTCTACAGGCAAAAATGCTAAACTCCTCTAGGAACAGCGTTTTTTTTTAGCCAGTGTGCATGCAGCCTTACAGTGGCTGACACATTTATCAATTAATTTCATAGTTGAATGGTGAAGGTACTGAATGAAGACTTTCTTATGCATGCCTCAGTCTGTATTTGACATTGGATGTGGCTGAAATATAAGTTACTAAATAGCATATAACAGAAAAAAATAAATAATGATATTGATCATTAATAAATATTGAACATACATATGTATCCCTGACAGTCTAAAGCCCAGGAGCTAACAACAGTGAAGATGTCCAAGTTTGGTGGTGGCATTGGTGCTCCAAGCAAAGAAGAGAGGCTAAAAGAAGCTGCAGAGATCCATTTAAGACTAGGACAGATCCAGAGATATTGTGAACTATTAGTGGAACTTGGAGAGGTACGGAATACAATTTCAAATCTGAAGCTGCTAAAGTGACATTAAAATCTGTACAGATTGTTCCTCTGTGAGTGGCTATATTAAAACAATTGTCAGCTTCATTTGCCAAAAACGTGAATTCACAGAAACATTAAAGCTGATATCCAGGCTATTGACTAAATACAGGATCCATGTGTACACTTATTTGATTCTTGGTGTCCTTGGTGTATTACTTTCAAATCCAGCAAAAAAAAAAAAAAAAAAAAAAACCTCCTAAACTTAGTCCCTGTACAGAAGGTTGGTCGTTTCTGTTCCCCTTCCTTTTGGAAGACTGGTCTTGTATCCACCCTCCCCTAGTTTTCTGCAGGCAGTCTGTAATGGGAGTACCGGCTGGGTCTCAACTGCTCCAGCTATGTGATTATGTCATCTCTACTTTAATATCTGGTTTACAAAGACAATTTGTGCACACAAAGTGCATTTATAGAAGCCTTTGTTGCTATCGGAATATATATAAAGAGATTGGTTTGTGCCTGGAGTCCAGCTCTAATGCATGTATGAGGTTAGTTATTGTTTATGTATTGTTTTAAAGATCTGCGAAAATATACTTCATCTGTCAAAAAGGATTACCCCACATCATTAATGCAAAATCACCACGTAGTGTTTCTCATCATATACCAAACCATAAGTGATTCTGTTGTGAAAATAAAAATGGCAGCAAAGATCCATTGTCCACAGTACTAAACGCAGCTCGGATGAAAAGGAATCAACCCTGTAAGTCTCTAAAGCAGCCAGCACTTCCCAGGAATTTCTATCCTCTGTGTACCTGGCTGCCCTTGGTGATTCCTCTCACTGATCCTTACATAATGGTTGCACCTTGTAGTGATATAAGGGTCAGCTGGAGGAACTACTGAGCACAGCATGGAGAGCTTTCGCTGCCACTTCTATCTTAGTCACAGAGTCAATAAGTTGAAACTGTTTGAATTTGGAAATCGAGAGTTGAAAAATAATTGGTTGCCTCTAGAAGGCACTTCCAAACAACTTGAAGGGGCAAAATCAGTAATCAAAAAATCCTTACATTTCCTGTGACCAGGATGTTAATTTTGTTGGCCCTGGCTCTCAAACAGCATAGAGAAGATAAAGCCTGAGAAGACATCCAATACATTTCTGCCTTCCTGGGTTGGTCATTTGTAACTGCTTTCTGCATATGTTAACAGCTGTGCAAGTATTTAGAGATAAAGATGTGGGATTAGCTACCGACGTTTAAGAAAGTATATATCTGCTGTATAGTATATTTAAGCTAGCCATACATAAAAAATGTTTATATATTCCCTATTCATGCTAAATTCCCTAACTCACTGCCCACTGTTGTTTTTTGACAGCTGGCAAAGGTTAGGCTAGGTTAAGTTAGTTTGATGTCTTTTTGTCAGTTGATGAGTTGTGCTTATTAATTTGTGTTCTCTAGAAAGGGGTCCATAGCTTTCATCGGATTTCTAAAGGGGTCTGTAACTCAAGAAAGATTAAGAATCACTGTTCTAAAAGAATGCAAATTTGTTTATATCAATTATTGTATTTCATTCCTAGTGGGATAAGGCACTATCAGTGGCTCCTGGTGTTTCTATGAAATACTGGAAAAAATTAATGCAAAGGTGAGTGAACAACATCAGAGCCTTTGATGTGATCTTTGAGAATCTTTGAGCATAAATTATTGTACACTGCTCAAAAAAAATCAAAGGAACACTTTGAAAACACATCAGATCTCAATGGGGAAAAAAAAATCTCATGCTGGATATCTATACTGATATGGACTGGGTAATGTGTTAGGAACGTAAGGATGCCCCATTGTTTGATGGAAATGAAAATGATCAACCTACAGAGGACTGAATTCAAAGACACCCCGAAAATCAAAGTGAAAAAATGATGCAGCAGGCTAGTCTATTTTGCTGAAATCGCATTGCAGCAACTCAGAGTAGTACTCAGTAGTTTGTATGGCCCCCACGTGCTTGTAAAGATGCCTAACAACATTGGGGCATGCTCCTAATGAGACGACGGATGGTGTCCTGGGGTATTTCCTTCTAGATCTGGACCAGGGCATCACTGAGCTCCTGGGCAGTCTGAAGTGCAACCTGGCGGCATCAGATGGAACAAAACATGATATCCCAGAGGTGTTTTATTGGATTTAGGTCAGGTGAGCATGGGAGCCATTCAATGGTATCAATTCCTTCATCCTCCAGGAACTACCTGCATACTTTCGCCACATGAGGCTGCGTATTGTTGTGCACCGGAGAAACTCAGGACCCACTGCACCAGCATAGCATCTGACAATGGGTCCAAGGATTTCATCCTGATACCTAATGGCAGCCAGGGTGTCATTGTCTAGCCTGTAGAGGTCTGCGGGTCCCTCCATGGATATACCTCCTGAGACCATCCCTGACCCACCACCAAAACGGTCATGTTGAATGATGTTACAGGCAGTAAATGTTCTCCACGGCTTCTCCAGACCCTTTCTCATCTGTCAAATGTGCCCGAGGTGAACCTGCTCTCATCTGTGAAAAGCACAGGGCAACAGTGGGCGGACCTGCCAATTCTGGTGTTCAATGGCAAATGCCAATCAAGCTCTGTGGTGCCGGACAGTGAGCATAGGGCCCACTAGAGGATGTTGGGCCCTCAGGCCACCCGCATGAAGTTCGTTTCTGATTGTTTGGTCAGAGACATTCACACCAGTGGCCTGCTGGAGGAAATTTTGTAGGGCTCTGGCAGTGCTCAAAGGAGCAGATTCCGGTCCTGCTGATGGGTTAAGGACCTTCTACGGCCCTGTCCAGCTCTCCTAGAGTAACTGCCTGTCTCCTGGATTCTCCTCCATGCTCTTGAGACCGTGCTGGGAGATACAGCATACCTTCTGGCAATGGCACGTATTGATGTGCCATCCTGGAGGAGTTGGACTTCCTGTACAACCTCTGTAGGTCCAGGTATTGCCTCATGCTACCAGTAGTGACACTGACCCTAGCCAGATGCAAAACTAGTGAAAAACCGTCAGAAAAGATGAGTAGGGAAAAAATGTCAGTGGACTCCACCTGTAAAACCATTCCTGTTTTGGGGGTTGTCTCATTGTTAACCATCTAGTGCACCTGTTGTTAATTTCATTAACACTAAAGCAGCTGAAACTGATTAACAACCCCCCCTGTTACTTAACTGACCAGATCAATATCCCAGGAGTTTAATTGACTTGATGATATACTCTGATTAGAAAGTGTTCCTTTAATTTTTTTTGAGCAGTGTATATTGCAAGAGGCTATATAGTCGTGTGAAGGATTTTAAAACTCTATTAATGCTTGTTAAAAAAATTGTTAGTGACCATAGTCTAAACACAAGTGCACTTTAAGGTACTGTATTAAGCAATCTTTTTATCTGTATTAAAGGATAAGTTCGCCTTTAGTTACATGTTACACCCGTATTTTGGGTGTAAACATGTAACTAATATTACTAATGCAGTACCCCTCCTAACCCTTTGATCCCCCTCACAGCCATTGCACATTTGAAAACCAGATCCATCCGCACAGCCAAATCATTCATACACAGGAATCTGTGATTGAATAAATTACTACCATAGCAGACGGACTTGTAGTTAGAATGAACTGCAGACTCTGGTAAAAAAAAAAAAAACTACTACATTCACATTTTTTTTCTGCGCAAATATACTGTATGTGTTTATTAATTTACTAATGCCTAATATCTTCTGTGATGGAGCATTGCTGTGAAACAAAATGGAATGTAGTAAGGACTACATTGACTAACATTGCTTGATTTTCTTTTTGAAATCGATAGTTGCCAGGCTATTATTTAAATCCATAGACTTGATTGCTTTTTTTGAGGCACTGGCCCACAGCAAGTATGCATGTCAAGAGTTCTGTCTTTGTTCTAACTTCATGTTCTGCATGTTTGTTGGGGGTTAGAGACTCAGAAAGCATTAAGGCCAGAGACAATTAGATGAAGAAGATCAACAATAGCAGCGCTTATATAGGATAAGAGAAAACCTCAGCGCAATCACCCCAAAAAACTTTGTGAAATATCTAAGTAAAAAAAAAAAAAAATCTATTTTGAAAAAATGCCAAAAAATTTCCCTATTCTTTTTAGGGCTTATGTCCTGTATACACAATCAGAAAATTGGATGATAAAAAATCGCTTTTGGAGGGATCTTACGATAATGTGATCATTAGTACATAGCTTTCAACACCCGATCACAACCGTTCATGCCACAATATCCAAAGGAACAAGCACGAAAATGTTTCTTGTACGATAACAGTGCAAACGATTTTTGTTTAATCAGTACAGTGTTCAAAAAAAAAAATCAAGAGACCATGACCACTCATGCTCAGGAAGGAAAGAATACCTTACAATACAGTACAATACCTTATATCACATCTGAAGTTGAATTCTGTCATACTAGAATTTTCATAACTTTAGTAACCTCTTCATTTTCAATATGGAACTAGCATGCAACAAAAAACGAATAAGTTGTCTGATTATCTGATGATGTGTACTAGGCAGTAGATGTGTATAACTAACATTCGTACTGCTGCTCACACCACTTGTGTTCCCACAGATAAAGCATAAACAACATAAATAAATAAGTGCGCGCAGTACAAGTGTTACTACTGATAAATCAAATATATAGTTTATCAATATATAAAAAGTCCCAAGTGTCCATATATTCTCATAAATATCCTTGTTATATAATAACTATATTGTATAATAAGAATGTTTGAGGATATATGGACTTTTCAGTCACAGTGAATGGTGTTGATTTTAGATAATATATTGTTTGCTAGAAATGCTTATTATATACGGATGCTTACTTAATTAGATATTTTTTTGTATATTTTGGATTTAAATGCTGTTTTTTTTAGTAGCATACAGCATATGATTTTATGATTTATCACTAGTAAGACTTGTACTGCATGACTCTTATTAATAGCAGCTCTTATATTTCAGTACAGGCTTCCTTTAATAAAAAAAAAAAAACTACAAATAGTAACATGAATTAAAAAAGTTAGTCTCATCTGCATTGTCTCTGTGATCTTGCCTAGTGTGACAGATTCACCTTATTGCAATATTCCCATGTTTCATGTACCTTAAGTATATCAGAACTCTCTATATTGTTTGTTTTTCTTTTTTTTGTTAGAAGAGCGAGTCAGCTCATTGAAGAGGAAAATGATGATGTCATTCCCTACTGTATAGCTACTGGGGATGTGAAAAGATTGGTCCATTTCTTTACCTCCAGGGGGCAACTTAAAGAGGCACTACTGGTGGCACAGGTATGTCTGTCGTCTGTTCATGATGGATTTTATTTTAGAAATCAAGTAAGTAATGAAGTTTGTTTCCTGCCATAAATGTTTATTGGTATAAGGTTTCCTTTGTAGTGACAAATCCACATGTTGTAACATTCTAGATATGATGACATGTGATGTAAATGAACAACATTCTTCTTCTACAAATGCTTTTGTATCTTCTTCTTACATAACTCTTGTAATAATTCACCGGGAATAATATAGAACAGGGGTGCTTAACCTGTGGCCCTAGGAGCCCTCTGATGTGGCCCTCAACGTCAAACCAGGGAAGCACACTTCTATTATAATTTGAATGCAAGAGTTTTGGTGGACTTTCAGAAAGTGATAGGATATAGATATAATAGGAGTCTATGGCAAAGCGCAGCTCACCTGCAGAAATGCCGCAGGTGCAATGCGCTGCATCTACGGTGTGGGTAAACAGCAGTGCATCAGTGTGAAGACAACCTTATAGGAGGCTTAGGACAGTAATGGCTTGTTTACATTTGCATTTGAGATGTGTTTTTACCATACACCACTAACCACTCATGTAGCATCAGGGGTCGCAATGGTGACCCGGCCCCATGCTTCAGGGGGCCCGTGTGACCTGCCTTGCACATTCTGTTATACACTTGGACAGGAGGGACAGTGGGGGGTAGCATATACAGGAACCAATCCCCTTTATTTTCTTCCTGTAACTGCTGAAAGCCGGTTTCTCCTCTTCTCTCCCTCCCACGGGCATGTAGCAGCTGTAGGAGGAAACTGTTCATTATGCTATTCAAAATAAAAAATTTGAAATTCTGAACCATTTCATTTCATTGTGGCCTATGACCAGTTACCAAATCACTTAAGTGGCCCTCGCTCTTCAAAAGGTTGAGCACTCTTAATATACAAGATGAATTCCCTTCTCTTAATTATAGCAATTTCCATTATTTCTGATTTAATTACCAGCATAAAGAAAAAACAGTTCGATAAAGCTGAAAAGATTAAAAAAGGTTCATGTTAATTAAAGTGACATTAAACCTTCTTTTTTTTATTAAAATAACAAACATGGTATACTTACCTGCTGTGCTCAATGGTTTTGCTCGGAGCAGCCCTGATCCTCTTCTTCTGGGGTCCCCCGGCGATCCTGGCCCCTCCTCTTTAGTGAGTGATGCAATGGAAAGCCACTATTCATGGGGGCACCCATGTGGGCTTGCTCCGTCTATTGGCACAGAGTGGGCAGCATGCCCCCCCTCCCCCATCCTCGCTCGCCACAGCATTTGATTGACAGCAGCGGGAGGCAATTGCTCCTGCTGTTATCAATCTGCTTAGTGAGCAGAGAGACAGCGGTGAGAGCCGCTGCTCTCATGTACATTGATATTGCTGGATTGGATTGGGTTCAGGTGAGAATAAAGTGGGGGGCTGGGGGGAATCCTGCAGCACAGAATTTTTTTCACCTTAATGCATGCAATGCTTTAAGGTGAAAACCCTTAAAGCTTTAGAACCACTTTAAGGTAACTAAATGCATTTCACAGACAATTTGATGAAGGTGACAGTAGAAATCTGTTCATGTTCAGTTAAAGTGTATGTATAGCCAAACATATATTTTGGAAAAAGAAGGGTTAAAACCTCTGCCATCTTATTTTGGGACATTTCCCTTTATTTATTTATTTCAGGTACTTATATAGCGCTGTCAATTTATGCAGCACTTTACATATATGTTGTACATTCACATCAGTCCCTAACCCTCAAGGGGGGTACAATTTAAGGTCCCTAACTTACATTCATACATACACATACTAGGGATAATTTAGACAGGAGCCAATTAACCTACCAGTATGTCTTTAGAGAGTAGGAGGAAACCGGAATACCCGGAGGAAACCCACACAGGCACAGGGAGAACATGCAAACTCCAGGCAGGTGGTGCCGTGGTTGGGATTCGAATCGACGACCCGAGTGCTGCCAGGCGGAAGTGCTAACCATTTAGCCACTGTGCTGCTCCGCTGTGCTTCCTGTCCCAGAAATACAAAAGAAAGTTAGAGGAAATCTTCCAAAGTGAGAAGAATTCTCTTCTTAGTTGTCCCCATAGCAGGTTCAGGGCAACTTACCTTTGATCTGGAGTCAATGCTAAAATTATGGATTTACCCTCACTTTATGTCTCAGTGACAATGGTCCCTAGTGAAAATTGAAGGATGAACTTTGCCAATGGGTGATCAGCAACTTGACAGGCGATATACAATCATGACCAAAAATATTGGCATTCCGCATTTCTGTCAGATAATGCACCACTTTGTCCAGAAAATTGTTTCAATTACAAATGTTAAGGCATTCTCTCATGTGTATTTCTTTTGTTTGTATTGGTATGACACAAAAAAGTGGAGAAACAAAAATCTGACACATTCAAAGCAAAACCCCAGAAATGGACTGGCCAAAATTATTGGTACCCTCAATTTAATATTTGGTAGCAGACCCATTGGAAAAAATAACTGAAACCAATTGCTTCCTGTAACCATCAATGAGTTTCTTCCACCTCTCTACTGGAATTTTGGTGCACTCTTCTTTAACCAACTGCTCCAGGTCTCTCAGATTGGAAGGGTTCCTTTACCCAACTGCTGTTTTGAGATCTCTCCACAGGTGCTCTATGGGATTGAGATCTGCACTGATTGCTGGCCAGTTCAGTACTCTCCAGTGCTTTGGGTCATTGTCCTGTTGTAAGACCCATGACCTTTGACTGAGACCCAACTTTCTGACACTGGACTCTACACGGCACCCCAGAATTCTTTGGTAGTCTTCAGATTTCATAATGCCATACATATGGCCAAGACACCCAGTGCCTGAAGCAGCAATGCAACCCAAAAACATCAGTGAATTTCCACCATGTTTGACTGTAGGGACTGTGTTCTTTTTGTTAAATGCCTCATTTCTTTTTCTGAAAACAGCAGAATGATGGCTTTACCAAAAAGCTGTAATTTTGTTTCGTCTGTCCACAGTACATTCTCCCAAAAGGATTTTAGCTTCCTCAGGTAAGTTTTGGCAAGCACCAATCCTTTTTTATGTTTCTGTGTCAGCAGTGGGGTCCTCCTGGGTCTCCTACCATAATGTCCCTTTTCATTCAGATGAATATGTATAGCGCAAGCTGATACAATTGTACCCTGTGCCTGAGGTTAAGCTAGATTTTGTCTGCAAGTTGATCGAGATTCTTTAGCCAGCATTTGAATAATCCTCATTGCAATCTTTGATCAAGTTTTTCTCTTTTGTCCACATTCAAGGAGATTAGCTATGGTGCCATGGGCTGTAAACTTATTGACAGCGTTGTGCACAGTGGACACAGGAACATTAAGATCTCTGGAGATGGACTTGTAACCTTAAGATTGTCCATGCCTTTCCACAATTTGTGTTCTCAAATCATCAGACAGTTCTGAGGGTGTGCCAATTTTTCACCATTTTAACTGGTTGCCAGTGTGATTTCTATATTGTCAGCACTGTTAATGGATGCAGATGTGTTTAATTACTAATTACTGGAGCATCACAAACTTGGAATGCAATTATTTCTTACAATTTTGAGAAGGTGCCAATAATTTTGTCCAGTCCATTTTCAGTGGTTTTGCGTGGAATGTGTCAGATTTTTCTTTTTGTTCCTCCACTTTTTTTGTGTTATACCAATACAAACAAAAAAATAAACAGGAGAATGCCTAAACATTTATAATTACAACAATTTTCAGGGCGCGGTAATGCTTTATCTGACAGAAATGCAGGGGTGCCAATATTTTTGGCCATGACTGTAACTCTTCCCAAATCTTTTCCAAAATGAGAGATATGCTTTAATCACTGTTTCCCAAAGTACAGTATGTGTGCCACTGATGTAGTATACAGTATATGTTCAGTGTAGGTGGCTTAAGCTAGCAGGATTTATATGCAGTACATAGGAGCTAGTACTTAAAGGATAAGTTCACCTGTGGGAACATGTTACATGTTCCACCTGTTTTTAGGGTGGAACATGTAACATGTTTGCAATGCTGCAGCCACCGCCCGATCCCCCCCTCCCTGTGACAGTAGTACGGGGAGAAGTTCCGTCCACGCGGCTGTGTCATTCATTCACAGAGGTCTGTGAATGAATGAGCTACAAGTCCCCACAGCTTTAGTGGCCGTCAGCTTGTAGTCCTCAATGAACTACCACATTGTGGTGGAGTGCCGTGATAGTTCATTGATTCTTCCTGTCAGTATATCTGCTTGCCTGTACATCACATACGGGCAAGCAGATATGCTGACAGATCGGCAGGAGACCTGCATGGCACTAGCAATCTGCTGATTGCTGGTGCAATGGCTTACAGACTCCTGCAACCAAAAATAATAAATGCACATTATTTTACCAGCAAAAAATGTGTATTGATTTTTTTTGGTCAAAAGGTGAACTTATCGTTTAACTCTCAGCTACTAATAGCACTGCTTGAAGAAGCATAAATAATTCAATAGACTGGATGTGTTTCAGCTGCTGAGTGCTCCAGGGCCATTTTGAAGACAGCAGTATGCTCTGACCTAGAATTTCACAGAGGGACCAGTTTAATAACATATTTTTTTAATAACATTTCATAGTACAGGTGATACTGTGATGGTGAGCTTGAGAAACACTACATTTATATCCTTCTTTGATGGAAAATATAATGGTATTCTTGGTACTGAAACTTCCAGTACAAAAATCAAGGTAGTTGTGTGTGTGCAATCTGTGACCACACACCTATGTGAGCTGCTATTGATAGCAAAATTGGTATTGTCATTGCAGATATAGTCGGTGCTGATTTGCTTGTTTATACGGAATATCCGGAGCCTTCATTAAAGGCTCAAGGTTTTTTACCTTCATGCATTCTATGCATGAAGGTTAAAAACCTTTTGCAGCAGTGCCCCCAGCCTCCTCAATACTTACCTGATCAAGCGATGTGCACTACAGCCTCGGCTCTCCTGGGTCTCTGCCTCCTTATTGGCTGAGACAGCAAGTGGGAGCCATTGGCTCCTGCTGCTGTCAATCACAGCCACTCAGCCAATGAAGAGAGAGAGGGGGCAGGGCCAAGCTGCGGCTCCGTGTGTGAATGGACACATGGCGCAGTGGGTGCCCCCATAGCTAGCTGCTTGCCTTGGGGGCACCTGACAGGACGGAGGGGCCAGGAGAGCCTGCGGGGGAAACCAAGAATAGGAGGATCCAGGCTGCTCTGTGCAAAACCACTGCACACAGTAGGTAAGTATAGACATGTTTGTTATTTTCCCAAAAAAAGAAGATGAACCTTTAGAATCGCTTTACGCTCTAACAGTACTTAAAGGATACTAAACTGAGCTTTCAAGAAATGTTATCACCTGTGATAATATTACTTAATAAGTCACTTTAAAATATTTTTAGCACTCATTTAGCCTGGGTTCACACTGATGCGGTCTGGAAACTACAGGGTTTTCTGTGCGAATTCCGCATCGCATCAGAATCGCACCCCGTTCATGTGAACCGCTGCGGGTGTGTATGTTAACAACACCCCAAAATCAGTCCGCAAAACATGGTGCGATGTGCAGAATCGGATCACATAGGAGTGAATACCCATGCAATCCGATTCTAGTACGGACCAAAAAAGGGCCCTGCACCTTTTTGGTGCGGGTGCGGTGCGATTAGAGCCATACAAAATGTATGGCTCCAATCGCACCGCACACAAATCGCATGTGATTTGCACAGGAATGCGGCTGTACCGCACCGCATATATGTGAACCCGGGCTTAGTTTAAAAATGAGGGCCCTAATCATAGTTCTGCATAACTGCTGGCTAATTACATCACATGCTGACTTTTTGAATCTCATAAGCTGGGTATACACTAGTAGATCTTCAAACAAACATTTGTATGAAGAATGTTTATTCGATTTTCCATTCACTTCAAAATTGAATGCTAAAAGCAAACAAAATTTTGAACTAATTTTGAATGACATTCATCAAGCCATTGAATATACAATTGTTCATTCACGAATATTCATACGAAGGTTTGTTCAAAATATTAACTATTGTATACCCAAATTTGTCCAAGAAAAAAATTCTGTCTAGCTCCTTTGCATTTTCTCGTCATTGCAGTTGAAAATGAACTTCAATTTGACCTCACTAATGATTAGAGAATCAAACGAATGTTATTAAAATATACAACGATAGACAAATTTCCCCCAAACGCACGAACTATCATAATCCACATACTGGCAGCGGCAAAAACTAATGTTACCAGATTGTGGAAGTCCACCAAAATCCCTGCTATCTCAACCCTTATTAATGACCTAAATTTCCAATGTGAAATGGAAAAGAGAACAGCAGCCCGAAACCTCACATACCATAAATTCCAATTCCAATGGTCTCACTGGCTCAATGACCCTAACTGCTCTATTAAATTACATACATTTAATATCATTACTACTACATAAACAACGCTTGACTGGTACACCCTCTTTCTCCCCCCTCCCTTCCTCCATCCCCATCCGATCCCATTCCTAATGTATTCTGAAATCACTAGATTCACATTAGTATATTCTTGTCTAGCAATAATATGAAAACATGCCCACATCCTCCCCAGCCAACTGGTGGGGAAACACATCCTCAGTTTATGTATACCTTTACTTACCACCTCATTCTAATGTGAACTACACTGTACTACGTTGTATATTACTGTATTTGTTTAAAAATCTTTCAATAAAAACTATTTGAAGTTAAAATATACAACGTAATTAAAATTTTGAACAAAAATCTACTGGTGTATTGTCACCAGAATCATTCCACTCTATTGTTGTAGCTTATAAAGAAACAAATGATGGAGTCACACCTCCCTGATGAATCTTCCATAATATATGATGAATAACTGAAGAGCTGGTTTTTGAAAAAGCAACATTTATCATATGCTCTTAGGTAAAGACAAAAACGACTGCTAAGAAAATTTGCCATTGAAGCCTCCAAGTTATAAAAAACAGTTTTCAATCTACTGACCAGTGCTTGTTTAGAGGATGAGAAATTAGAATTGCCTGTGTAAATTGCACTAAGCACTTTCTACTGATTAACTTGCTTATTTACCTCTAGGCAGCTTGTGAAGGCAACATACAGTCTGATCATGTTTCAGTAATGACTGCATCCCCAACTGAAGGCAACAATGTGGAAGATTACACAGAGTAAGTGGTCTTATGTCCATCCTGTTGCAATCTGAAGACTGTACACTTTCAATCAAATGGTCATACAGCTTGTGAGCTATTTTAGCAGCTGACTGAATGGCATTTTATTCTTTTATTGTTACTGTCCTCTGTACAGGCTTCTGCATCGAGTCAGTACAGAACTAGCAGAGTGGTATTTCCAAGATGGGCGGGCTGTCCTTGCAGCATGCTGCCATTTGGCAGTGGACAACATTGAAGTAAGAATCATTTGGCTGCTGATGTGAAGCTTTGGCATTTAACATCTAATTAGCAGGGAAAAATAGCATGTTTGTTTTTTACCTTTATTAACCAATTCAATACCGGGCAATTTTACACCTTCCTGCCCAAGCCAGTTTTCAGGTTTCAGCGCTCTCACAATTTGAATGACAATTGCGCGGTCATACAACATTGTACCCAAACTAAAATTTTATCATTTTCTTCACACAACTAGAGCTTTCTTTTGGTGGTATTTAATCAGCGCTGCTGGGTTTTTATTTTTTGCTAAATTAACAAAAAAAGACCAAAAATGTAGAAAAAAACACACGTTTTTCTTTGTTTCTGTTATAAAAGTTTGCAAATAAATAATTGTTCTTCATAAATTTAGGCCAAGATGTATTCTGCTACATATCTTTGGTGAAAACAACCCAAATTAGGATGTATTTTTTAGTTTGTAGGAAAGTTATAGAGTTCACAAATTATGGTATAGATCTGAATATTGATCAATCCTGAAGTACTGACAGCCAATCTAATTTCTTGAAGTCCAAGAATGTCAGAACAGTACAGATATCCCCCAGATGACCCCTTTTTGCAGAGTAGACAGTCCGACGTACTTCATAAGAGGAATGGCGCGTTTTTTGAAGTTGTATTTTTTTTGTCATATTTTTTAGAAAATGAAAAAAATTAAAAAAATTAGTTTCACTATTTTTTTTTTTTACATATTGTCACCAGTGCAGTACAGCGTCATCATATAACTGGCATGGCGGTGATCAGGGACACTGACTGGTGACAGCATGAAAAAAAAAAAAAAAAAATATATATATATATATATATATATATATATATATATATATATATTTTTTTTTATTTTTTATTAATTTTTTTTTTTTTTTCTAAGATTTTATTTTCATATTTCACTATGACCAAAGTAGTACAATGTTACTAGCAACATTGTACTTCTTTGGGGAAGTGATCAGTATTTTTTTTTTTTACACAATTTGCTTATAGCAAGAATTACTTTGCTATAAGCAAGCATTTACCTGAATGACATCGATTCATTCAGGGTTTTTGTTTTTGTTTGTGCTTAGCTGTGATTTGGCCACAGCTAATCACATGACATGTGCATGTGATTAGCTGTGACCATTCACAGCTAGACACTAGAATACAATGGATGGCATGAATGAAGCCATCCATTGTATACAACTGTCATGTGACCTGCTGTGATTGGTCACAGCAGGTCACATGGTACCGGCAACGGGGGCCGATACTCAGATCTGTCATCGGCCGTGTCCGAGGTACACGGCCGGTGACAAATCACGCCGCTGCGCGGCTCTGCAGGAGCGCAATCTGCGCATGTGTGGGAGGACGGTAAATGGCGTCCACCTGGAACTCTGATGACATTTGCCGGACGCCATTCGGCCATAGGGCGGGCAGCAAATGGTTAAAGACGTTCTCATCATTCAGTAAAAAAAAAAAAATGTTAATCCATTACTAGTGGTAGCTACTAGAAAACAGCACTTGGGCAGAGAAATAGGTTATTTGAATGCCTTCCTACCCAGCAGCACATGCTTACCCTTCCTTTGCTGCCCCAGCTCTGTTTAGCCACCATAAACAAAGAAAGGCAACTCTGTAAAAGCTCCAAGGTGCTCCAGTTGGAGCATTTACAGTATCGAGGACTCACCCTGCCCTATGTGACAGTGCTCTGCTAATTACTAAAACAAATGCTGTCACATGAAGGACGTCCAATGCTTCTTTATACCCGGAATTATTGGATATTTTTTTTTTTTTTGGTAGCTGAATAGAGTGGTAGGCAGTGAAGAAAAGGTAAGGATGTGCTGCTGGGGATGGGGGGACATTCAAGCAATCTTTTTGTTTTTCCTTCCATTGACAAACATAGGTTTACTTAATGGGAACCATAACTGATCCTTGGACTTTGATGAGCCTACTATTTTTGTTATGCACCAACAATTATAATCTGGGCAAATATTAGAGGAGAAGAGCAGGCATAACACAGAGCTCAATAATAAATATGTAAACTGGAAATGATGTGGGTCTTGTAAGGTCTATTTCCTGTGCCTGGAAATGAAAGTTGTCTGCAACATAATGTGTAGGCATGACCTCATCTAACCTTTCAGTAAATGCAGCATAATCCATCAGTGATCCCTAATACCATAAGTCAGGCATTAACCCAAATACTGGTGTAGTTCACAATAAATAAACATGGCTACGTAAGTTGGGAAAATGAAGCTTTTTGGTGATATCTCTGAGATTGTTCTCAGTAGTCTGGCCTATAAACTGAGTTAAATAACAGTAGACTGTAGTTATGAGAATATGTTTTTTTCAGAGCTGCATTGATATATCTCAGAATCAGATATTTAAAATACTAGATAGGAACTTCCACTATTTTTTCATTCTACAACTGAATGTAGTCAGTCATTGCATGCAAAGGACTTTCTAGTAAAGCAAATGTGTTTACTTTATTAAAGCTGGCCATGGCCAACCTCATTCGTGGCAATGAGCTGGAACTGGCGGTATGTGTCGGCACGGTACTTGGAGAGAGTGCTGCTGAAGCCACCCAGTATGCACTGGAACTGCTGGCAAGGAAATGCATGACAGTAACAACATGGTGTGTATAGCCATACAATGAGTGTGATCCTTGAGACTGTGTGATGAGTACAGCATTTCATTCACAATGGGCTTGTTCATCAAGGATGATATTGTAAGTTTTACCTATTTTTCTATGACATTTACATTTTGATCCCCTCGCACAATGTATCAAGGTGTGTAAAACTGCACTGTTGATATCAATATAGCTAATTTTGTTTTGAATGCTTCCCATTTCTACCAACCTCCGGTTCTCTTGTTTAACCCTTTCAGACCTAAGGGTAAAACAAATGTTAATGCCTAAGCACAGTTTTTCAACTTTGACATGTGTTTGTAAAACCGTACATCTAGGTATATGTATATATGACAGAGTGGGGTCAGCGCATGCTGAAGCGCACAGTGCGTAGAAGTCGCCAACTGTCTGCAGAGTCAATAGCTAAAGACCTCCAAAATTCATTTGGCCTTCAGATTAGCACAACAACAGTGCATAGAGAACTTCATGGAATGGGTTTCCATGGCCGAGCAGCTGCATCCAAGCCTTACATCACCAAGTGCAATGCAAAGCGTCAGATGCAGTGGTGTAAAGCATACAGCCACTGGACACTAGAGCAGTGGAGACGTGTTCTCTGGAGTGACAAATCACGTTTCTCTGGCAATTCGATGGACGTGTCTGGGTTTGGCAGATACCAGGAGAATGGTACTTGCTTGACTGCATTGTGCCAAGTGTAAAGTTTAGTGGAGGGGGGATTATGGTGTGGGGTTGTTTTTCAGGGGTTGGGCTTGGCCTCTTAGTTCCAGTGAAGGCAACTCTTAGGGCATCAGCATACCAAGACATTTTGGACAACTTTGTGGGAACAGTTTGGGGATGGCCCCTTCCTGTTCCAACATGACTGCGCACCAGTGCACAAAGCAAGGTCCATAAAGACATGGATGAGTGAGTTTGGGGTGGAGGGACTTGACTGGTCTGCACAGGTCCTGACCTCAACCTGATTTGGGATGAATCAACATTTGGGATGAATTAGAGCAGAGACTGCAAGCCAGACCTTCTCGTCCAACATCCGTTTCTGACCTCACAAAATCTTCTGGAAGAATGGTCAAACATTCCCATAGACACACTCCTAAACCTTGTGGACAGTCTTCCCAGAGGAGTTGAAGCTGTTATAACTGCAAAAGATTGGGCCAAACATCAGATCTCAATGGGGAACAATATCATGCTGGATATCTGATATGATATACTGATATGGACTGGATAATGTGTTAGGAACATAAGGATGCCCTATCATTTGATGGAAATGAAAATTATCAACCTACAGAGGACTGAATTCAAAGACACCCTGAAAATCAAAGTGAAAAAATAATGCAGCAGGCTAGTCCATTTTGCTGAAATTTCATTGCAGCAACTCAGAATGGTACTCAGTAGTTTATTTGGCCCCCACGTGCTTGTGAGAATGCCTGACCACGTCAGGGCATGCTCCTAATGAGACGATGGATGGTGTCCTGGGGTATTTCCTCCCAGATCTGGACCAGGGCATCACTGAGCTCCTGGACAGTCTGAGGTGCAACCTGGCTGCATCGGATGGACTGAAACATGATATCCCAGAGGTGTTCTATTGGATTTAGGTCAGGTGAGCGTGGGGGCCATTCATTGGTATTAATTCCTTCATCCAGGAACTGCCTGCATACTCTCGCCATATGAGGCCGGGCATTGTCGTGCACCAGGAGGAACCCAGGAGCCACTGCACTAGTGTAGGGTCTGACAATGGGTCCCGATACCTAATAGAAGTCAGGGTGCCATTGTCTAGCCTCTAGAGGTCTGTGCATCCCTCCATACATATGCCTTCCCAGACCATCACTGACCCACCACCAAAACGGTCATGCTGAACGATGTTACAGGCAGCAGAACATTCTCCATGGCTTCTCCAGACCCTTTCACATCTGTCACATGTGCTCAGGGTGAACCTGCTCTCATCTGTGAAAAGCACAGGGCACCAGTGGTGGACCTGTCAGTTCTGGTGTTTAATTACAAATGCCAATCAAGCTCAATGGTGCCAGGCAATGAGCACAGAGTCCACTAGAGGATGTCGGGCCCTCAGGCCACCCTCATGGAGTCTGTTTCTGATTGTTTGGTCAGAGACATTCACACCAGTGGCCTGCTGGAGGTTATTTTGTAGGGCTCTGGAAGTGCTCATCCTGTTCCTCCTTGCACAAAGGAGCAGATACCGGTCCTCCTGATGGGTTAAGTACCTTCTGTGGTCCTGTCCAATCCTCCTAGAGTAACTGCCTGTCCCCTGGAATCTCCTCCATGCTCTTGAGACTGTGTTGGGGGCACAGCAAACCTTCTGGCAATGGCATGTATTGATGTGCCGTCCTGGAGGAGTTGGACTGCCGGTGCAGCCTCTGTAGGGTTCAGGTATTGCCTCATGTTACCAGTATTGACACTGACCCTATCCAAATTCGAAACTAGTGAAAAACAGTCAGAAAAGATGAGTAGGGAAAAAATGTCAGTGGCCTCCATCTGTAAAACCATTCCTGTTTTGGGGGTCACCTCATTGTTGCACATCTAGTGCACCTGTTAATTTCATTAACACCAAAGCGGCTGAAACTGATCAACAACCCCGTCTGTTACTTAACTGACCAGATCAACATCCCAGGAGTTTAACTGACTTGATGCTATACTCTGATTAAAAAGTGTTCCTTTAATTTTTTTTTGAGCAGTGTACATTGATAATGTTCTTAACCTTCCAAAGATAAGCCACCTTTTAAAAAATAATAAAATAAAATGTGTTATTTATTTTTACTTGGATCCTAGAAAGCATTGCACCCACAGATCATGGGTGCCATGCAGGACTCCTGCAGACTTGTGAGTGTACCCTCATATGGGCAAGCAGATACACATTGACAGGAAAAGACAATGAACTACCACAGAGCTCAACAATGCTGTGGTAGTTTGAGAACAACAAGCTGACAGCCGCAAAGGCTGTCAGGCCTTGTAGTTTCCCATTCACATAACTCTGTGAATAAATGACGCGGCCAGACAGGCAGAGCCCCACACAGGCCACTTTTTAAAAAAATTAGTGAGAGACACCAAGATGGCTGACCCTTCAAAGAGGCAAAGTGCAGAAGAAGGCATGGGAAATCTATAATGGGGACATTTCAGCTGCAAGTAGACCGAGACCACAGGCAATACTGGTGACTAGTCCTCTGGCATTTGCCTGCTTTATTTTGGGGCACACCTTCCAGAGTTCAGTTTCTGTTTAATTATAAAGGTCAGGTGTATTTGTAGTATAAAGAGATCATTTTGGCACAAAATGTTTATACAGCAACAACTTTCATTAAACAATCCTAATGTTCCTTACAATCAATACAGTTTAGAGACCAGGGCACAAGGGAGAGGCCAAGTGGGCAACTGCCCTGAGCACTGTGTTGGGGGTGGGGGCCACACTGCTGGTGCTGCACTTCACTGATCGCAGTTTCACTCCTGTCATAAGGAGCAGTGGCTGATACTTGCTGGAGGGAGGATTAGGCTTTCTCCTCCCCTCCAGCCTGCAGGGGATGATAGACAGCAAGCACTCAGAACTCACCTCAGTCTCAGCGTGGCACTGCTGAGAAGTGAAAGCAGATGACTGGAGAGAGGAAAAAGAAAGTGCCTGCATTGCAGAAGATCTGTGAGAGTGTGAGTACAAGGGGGAGAGAGGAGGGGCCTCTGATGAGAACACCTGATATAAAGGGGGACTCTGATGGGGACAACCGTTGTACTGTGGGGGGACACCTGATGTAAAGGGGGACTCTGATGGGAACACCCCTTGCATGCAGAGGGGCTCTGATGAGGACACCTGATGTAAAGGGGGACTCTGATGCTGACACCCGATGTATGGGGGGGACTCTGATGGGGAAACTAAAGGGATTTTATTTACTTTTACTTGAAATGTGGATGTGATTGGCCTACTTTTATGTTTTTTATTAGAGAGAGATTTGGACCTCAGCAAATTTTAGTGACCGGGCCTCTTTGAATTTGAATTCATTCTCCCTTCCCTAGGTAGAAATTTTTGCCATGTAGGAGTGTGTGCAAATTTGTGTCCATCCATGCAATACACAAACACACACAGCCCTTTGGCAGGCATGCATTGGTTATGTTAATCCTTAATGGCACAACAAATACCTAGTTTTTGTACTCATTCACCTGCAGCAAAACGCATGATAGCAAAGTACTATGCGTTTTGGTGCAGCGTGAACGTTTTTATGTGCGTTCTTCATGCGTAGGGCAGCCCATTGAAATGAATAGACTGCACTTTGAGTGTTGTGCTAAAACAAGCACACTACATCACATCTGTAAAGGTGTGAATGAAGCCGTAGGGCTAGTTTACACTTACCCACAGTAGCCCTCTGAAGAGTGATTCGTATTGGATCACTTTGCAGAGAGTATTTGACAGACAGTGAGAGCTGATTCACCGCATCCAATCCGCCGACACTGAGGCTTTATTATTCCGCCTCCTCAACGTCTGTTTTAACAACTTATGATCTTGCATCGCAGATGTGTGCGTTCCATGCTGTTGCAGCTCAGCCCTAATCTCTTACATGAGTCATGTTCAGTGGGTGGTACAGCCAGTCAAACATGGCAAGGGATCATTTTTGCTGCGCTTGTGTATACTCCGTACAGCTGCCTTTGCAGCTCAGGGGGCAGTAGGAAAGCAGTAAAAACATGGCCCATCCTTCTGTTTTCAAAGCCACTCTACCCCAACCACAAGTGTAAACAAGGCATTAGGAGTTTGTTCACATGGGCAGACAAGGGGGCCAGTAAAAGCAGGCAGCTGAGCCACATGTCTATTGTCACCTGACCAGCCATGTGAACAGGGAGATGCAGTAGCAGTAGCTTGTACACATGCCATGGCCTGATGCTTTGCTACATGGCCATGGCACAAAATAAATGGAATGGGGTCACACTGCATCTGTTTACAATGCACAGCCCATTGGGCCAGTGGGGTTAAAACAGGCAGCACAGAGAAGAAATATCACCTCCTCACTGCCTATCAAACATTTGAAAATTGATCTGCCATGGATCATTTTTCAGAGGGGCTGCTCTTAAAGCCTTTTCAGACTCCTTCCATCCTCAGAGCCTCCTAGATCTGTTTAGTTCTATGAACCCCTCAGGCCCACCTGCCTGCCCTTCCATTATCCTACTGACAGATCTCCTCCGACTGACTCAAAAAATGCAGTGACAGTTTTTCCCCACTGACACTTATCTAGCACCAATGTTCCTCTTAGCTACACCGCTGACATTTTTTCCCTCCAGTGACACCACTCACACAGAGACATTTTTTTCCTTTCTGGTGACACCACTCACACAGAGACATTTTTTCCTTTCTGGTGACACCACTCACATAGAGACATTTTTCCTTCCAATGACACCACTCACACAGACATTTTTTTACTTCCAGTGACACCACTCACATAGAGACATTTTTTCCTTTCCGGTGACACCACTCACACAGAGACATTTTTTCATTCTAGTGACACCACTCACACAGAGATTTTTTTCTCTCTTCACCACTGTTAACCCCTTATTTTTGCACTGATTTTACACTTCAGTTTGCTGTAAACGTGACTGTAGAGCTCGATCTCAGTCTTCACAGGACTGAGATTGAGCTCTGCAGTCACTTTTGCAGCAGTGGTTTTCTTATTCTGAGTCACAATCCTGCACAATGTCCTTTTGTCTCTTTCGGACAGTTGACCATGTTGATCGCACTCATGCTTATCAGATGACGTTTTCCCAGAAACTATACATGCCGTTATAACCTTTGATACTGTACCTCACGACATGGCAAATAAATTGGCAACTTCAGTCACAGAGGCACCAGCTAAGCAGCATCAACAATTTGCCCTCTTTGAAGCTCAGTAAGCTCTGACATGACTCCGTATTACTAGCAGCACATATAGAGAATGACGAAAGTGAGCCTTCCCACCTGTTAGCTAGGTGTCTCATCACACAGCAGAAGCAAAAGAATGTTCCATCACTTCCACTTTCAACGCGAAACATGTCACTTTCACACTTTCAAATCATGTCGTGCTTCCATTTTTTGTCTAACGCCTGTACATGGGAAGTATGGCATTAAAAGTAAAATTTGAAAAACCTTGTAGCATCATAGTTACTTGTTTGAGGTTGTCCTATTTCTTTGTATTTTCATTTCTGTATGCACTTTTCATTAGAGGGAAACTTGCCTATCCATTAGGACTTGTCAATTATGTTTTTTATTATTGTGTGCTAACTGATATTTTGTGAATTTCTTACACTGCACTTTCTAATGTTTTGCCTTTTCTTTAGCTTTCCATCTCTTGGATACAGGTACAGATATTGGTGTTATAGGTCTGCTTGTGACATGTAATGTGCTGTATAGTGACAGAGTAGATAAAGATACAGGCGTACCTCGGTTTACCAACGCCTCGGCTAACGTAATTGGCGGTATACAAATGGAAATCCATTGAAAATAATGCCTCAATTTACAAATTTTTTTCGCAACATGAACGGATTAATTGTTTTTCAATGCATTTACAATTTTTTTTTAATCATGTTCCTGTACAGTACTATGCCTTTAAAGTGCACTTTATAAAGAGTTTTGAACAGAAGACTTTTTTTACTTTTTTTCTGACCTCCGGAACGGATTAATTGGTTTTCAATGCACTTACAAATTTTTGTCGCAATACGTACGGATTAATTGGTTTTCAATACATTTACAAGTTTTTTTTTTTAATCATGTCCCTGTACAGTACTATGCCTTTAAAGTGCACTTTATAAAGAGTTTTGAACAGAAGACTTTTTTTACTTTTTTCTGACCTCCGGAACGGATTAATTGGTTTTCAATGCAATTACGAATTGATTTTTAAATCATGTCCTGTACAGTATTTATGCCTTTAAAGTGCACTTTATAAAGAGTTTTGAACAGATAAAAGACTTTTTTTTACTTTTTTCTGACCTCCGGAACAGATTAATTGGTTTTCAATGCATTTACGAATTTTTGTCACAATACGAACGGATTAATTGGTTTTCAGTGCATTTACAATTTTTTTTTTAATCATGTCCTTGTACAGTACTATGCCATTAAAGTGCACTTTATAAAGAGGTTTGAACAGAAGACTTTTTTTTACTTTTTTCTGACCTCCGGAACGTATTAATTGGTTTTCAGTGCATTTACGAATATATTTTTAATCATGTCCCTGTACAGTATTTATGCCTTTAATGTGCACTTTATAAAGAGTTTTGAACAGATAAAAGACTTTTTTTTTACTTTTTTTCTGATCTCCGAAACGGATTAATTGGTTTTCATTGCATTCCTATGGGAAAACGAATTTTCGCAATACAAAAGTCCAGCAGAACACATTAAATTCGTAAACCGAGGTACGCCTGTATGTTTTATTATCACTTTGCCAGATCGCTAGATGTCTTCAAATATGTTCAGTTGATAGTAAAACACTCTGTTATGTGCTGAATCCAATTGTGATTGATGTCCTGTAGTACCTTCTTGTGTCTGTGGATGTTGCTGCTGCTCCATATTTAAGCTTTATACTTTAATTATTTAAAGTTTTTTGTCAGAAGAGAAATATAGGAGTGGCCATTGCCCCGGTTTAGAATGCATTTTTAGAACTATCATCTTTATTTTTCTTCTGTTAATTAGTGAGTAAAAAGAAATATATTAAAGAACTTGCAAAAAAAAACAAAAATGCACCTATCAGGTGTAGTGATACCCAATGTGTATATGCTTGATCAAGTGACCTGGCAGTGGTAAAGGAAAGGTGAGGATGAAGGCTCCTGTTCTTGGGTGCAGATTGGCAATGGAAACTCCTATGTTCCAATAATCTCCTAGGAGTAGGGGAGAACTCCCTTTCTCCAATCACACAAAGTCTTGCATTTATTGAAAAGAATATAAGGCTGTTATGATTGAAGGAGATGTACAACGAGCAACCTGATTAGTGTACTTCCACTAGTACTACCATCCCCCAGCTCTGAACATTTGACACTTACAGTACTATGGTGGCAGAATGAAAACACCATTTTTTACTGAATGGAGCAGCAACCAACAGTGAGACTAGGATAAATGTAATTTATTTCTAAACAGCAATACGTAGAATTGTGATTTTCCTTGATTCCAAATTCAAAGTGGACCTGTCATTTAAAAGTATTCAGTACTCCACCTCTAGCAGAAAAGAACAATAGCCTAGCAAAGATTGTGGACCAAATATTATAATATAATTAAAGTATGTAAACTGTACTGATATTAGATAAAAACTTTTTTTTTTTTGCGCAACCCTGATATATTTCATATTTACAAAATAGACACTTTTTTTATAACAATATACCATAATAAGAAAATCTACGTTAACCATTTGCCGCCCAAGGACATCCCTGTACATCCTTGAGTTGTGGTTTATTCTGGGATGATGCCTACAGCTACAGGCATTATCCCCATATCTTTTTTTTGGGTTGGCGATGTTTTTTTTTTTTACTGTAAAAGAAATCCTAGCAGTTCATTAACTATTAAAGAACTAAAATAGCTCAAACTAAACTAAAAAAATAATCAAAAAAAAAAAAATGAAAGCGCCCCTGCGCTCATTTGCAAAGGGTAACACTTACGTAGGTTGTGCATGCATATGTTAACAATGTTTGCACCACACATAAATTAAATTACCGCCGCAAACATTATAGCAAGAGCAATGATTTTAGCACTAGACTTCCTGCGTAACTCTAAACTGCTAACCTGTAAAGGCTTTTAAAGCATTGGCTATGGAGATTTTTAGGTACCGTAGTTTTACCATTCCACGAGTGTGCGTAATTTTAAAGTGTGACATGTTAACCTCTTAGCGCCAGCGCCTCCCGGCCTTTTAAGAGTTTCAGAAGCTGGGAGTCGGGTGGGGTTTTCAGGTCATGTGATTCGCCGTCACGGTGGTCACATGATCGGAAAAGGTCCTGATCGAAAGGGGAGATCGGGACCTTACCGTAAGTCACGGACATATGTGCTGGGAGCGTGCATGGCGCTCACTCTCAACACATATGTATTTTCAATTGCACGCAAATATGCAGCTGCTTGGCGTCAAGGCCCAGGGGCCGAGAGGCTGCATATTTGCGTGTGCTTGGCGTCAAGGGGTTAAATATCTGTTTACTTGGCGTAACATCATCTTTTATATTTTACCAAACAATTGGTATTATATTGAGTTTTTGTGCATTAAAATTCATTAAAGTGGGAGGCACAGTGGCTAAATGGTTAGCACTTCTGCCTAGCAGTAGTAGGGTCGGTGATTCGAATCCCAACCAGGGCACCACCTGCCTGGAGTTTGCTGTTCTCCCTGTGCCTGCGTGGGTTTCCTCCGGGTACTCCTGTTTTCCTTCCGCACTCCAAAGACATGCTGGTAGGTTAATTGGCTCCTGTCTAAATTGGCCCTAGTATGTGCATGTATGAATGTGAGTTAGGGACCTTAGATTGTACGCCCCTTAGGGGTTAGGGACTGATGTGAATGTACAATTTATATGTAAAAGCGCTGCGTAAATTGACGGCGCTATATAAGTCCCTGAAATAAAGTGTATTTTTTTTTTAAAATTGCAATTGAAAAACCACTGCACAAATACTGCGTGACAAAAAAATTGGAACACCCACCGTTTTATTCTCCAGGGCCTCTGCTTTAAAAAAAAAATATAATGTTTGAGGGATCTAAGCAATATTCTAGCAAAAAAAGCTGATTTTTACACGTAGGAGAGAAGAGTCAGAATCTGCTAGGGATGCAGGTGGTTAAACCAATCTTAATGTGAAATGGAAATGACTATAGTTCCTCTTTAAAGGGTCAGTATCCCGAAAAACTGCTACTTTTCCTTAGCAAGTGGAGACACAGTTATAACATTTGCTGTAAGTAAGTAAAGAGATCATGCGTTTTCAAGAAATAAAAGATGGAGGGTCTCAGAGTCATCAGGTTATCTACCCAACAGGTATGGGATGACTGGTCCTTTACCAGATAACACAGCCATCAGAATATCTAAGAACTGCATTTGTTATTTTGTTCATATTGTCCAAGGTCACCATGGATTGTAAATAATAAGTCCAAAATGGGAAACCTGACAATCCCAAACCTGAGAGCCAGAGTCTATCTGCTGCAGTCAGTATAATAACTTACATTGTCATTGTGGCACATAACATTAGAAAATAAAAATGCCGAGTGTGGTCTTTTAAATGAACATCTAGCCCTTGTGACATCAATCTCAGCTTTATAAAATCAGCTTCATTTCAAATGTTTCAATATTCTTTGGTTATCTTTGTGTTTATAATTAGGAACAGTGACATCTGTTGATTTATGGAAGTCATGGGACTAGAAAAAAAAAGCAAAAAAAAGCAATTTACTGCCCATTTCAAAATAAAATAAAATACAATAAAAAATTACAAGTTAACATATTTCCTGTAATAATTAATAAAGACATCTAATGAACACTAAGTATTTATTTTTATACTGTAAAAGGCATCATTACACATTCATGGTATAGAAGCATTTTTGCATATTATTTGCTTGTGTCTACAGTGATAATTGAATCTTTTTAATTACAATCTGCATTTCAGCACCTTAGATATGCTTGTGTAGTGTGCTTCTGTGATGCTGGAAAGTGGGTGAGACGTGCTAATACAGTACATGCGTGTCACGTTCTTTCTATAAATAGCTGCGATGAGCAGTGCCCTGCTGGAAACCCTGCTGCTGCTACAGTCTACATGAGCTTTGTTTATTTTTTACAGGGATTTGGCAGCAGATCTTCTCAGAATGATACCTGACAATGAGCTCTCCTTGGTCAAGCTGTGCGCTTTTTACCCAGGATGCACTGCAGAGATTAATGACCTTCACAGCAAAGTATGTTTCAGAAAAGAATTGTTCTCTTTTTCACAATAACTGTGAAGAAAGAATTATTGTGTGTATATATATATATATATATATATATATATATATATATATATATATATATATATATATATATATACAGTCATGGCCGAAATTGTTGGCACCCTTGATATTTCTCCAGGAAATCATGTATTTCTCACGAAACGTATTGCATTAACACATGTTTTGCTATACACATGTTTATTCCCTTTGTGTGTATTGGGACAAAACAAAAAAAGGGAGGAAAGAAAGCAAATTCGACATAATGTCACACAAACCTCCAAAAATGGGCTGGACAAAAGTATTGGCACCCTTTCACAACTGCGGATAAATAAGAATGTTACAAGCATGTGATGCTCCTGTAAACTCACCTGGGGCAAGTAACAGGTGTGGGCAATATAGAAATCACACCTGAAAGCAGATAAAAAGGAGAGACGTTCACTTAACCTTTGCATTGTGTGTGTCTGTCTGTGCCACACTAAGCATGGACAACAGAAAGAGGAGACGAGAACTGTCTGAGGACCTGAGAACCAAAATTGTGGCAAAATATCAACAATCTCAAGGTTACAAGTCCATCTCCAGAGAACTAGATTTGCCTTTGTCCACAGTGCGCAACATTATCAAGAAGTTTGCAACCCATGGCACTGTAGCTAATCTCCCTGGTCGTGGACGGATGAGGAAAATTGATGAAAGATTGCAACGCAGAATAGTCCGGATGGTGGATAAGCAGCCCCAAACATGTTCCAAAGACATTCAAGCTGTCCTGCAGGCTCAGGGAGCATCAGTGTCAGCGCGAACTATCCGTCGACATTTAAATGAAATGAAACGCTATGGCAGGAGACCCAGGAGGACCCCACTGCTGACACAGAGACATAAAAAAGCAAGACTACAGTTTGCCAAAATGTACTTGAGTAAGCCAAAAGCCTTCTGGGAAAACGTCTTGTGGACAGATGAGACCAAGATAGAGCTTTTCGGTAAAGCACATCATTCTACTGTTTACCGAAAACGGAATGAGGCCTACAAAGAACAAAACACAGTACCTACGGTAAAATATGGTGGAGGTTCAATGATGTTTTGGGGTTGTTTTGCTGCCTCTGGCACTGGGTGCCTTGACTGTGTGCAAGGCATCATGAAATCTGAGGATTACCAAAGGATTTTGGGTCGCACTGTAGGGCCCAGTGTCAGAAAGCTGGGTTTGCGTCCAAGATCCTGGGTCTTCCAGCAGGACAATGACCCCAAACATACGTCAAAAAGCACTCAGAAATGGATGGCAAAGAAGCGCTGGAGAGTTCTGAAGTGGCCAGCAATGAGCCCAGATCTAAATCCCATTGAACACCTGTGGAGAGATCTTAAAATTGCTGTTGGGAAAAGGTGTCCTTCCAATAAGAGAGACCTGGAGCTGTTTGCAAAGGAAGAGTGGTCCAAAATTCCGGGTGAGAGGTGTCAGAAGCTTATTGATGGTTATAGGAAGCGACTGATTTCAGTTATGTTTTCCAAAGGGTGTGCAACCAAATATTAAGTTAAGGGTGCCAATACTTTTGTCCAGCCCATTTTTGGGGTTTTGTGTGACATTATGTCATATTTGCTTTTCTGCCTCTGTTTTATATTTGTTCCAATACATACAAAGGGAATAAACATGTGTATAGCAAAACATGTGTTAATGCAATACCTTTTTTGTGTGAAATACTTGATTTTCAGGAAAAATATCAAGGGTGCCAACAATTTCGGCCATGACTGTATATATATAAAATATACAGTATCTCACAGAAGTGAGTACACCCCTCACATTTTTGTAAATATTTTATTATATCTTTTCATGTGACAACACTGAAGAAATGACACTTTGCTACAATGTAAAGTAGTGAGTGTACAGCTTGTATAACAGTGTAAATTTCTGTCCCCTCAAAATAACTCAACACACAGCCATTAATGTCTAAACCCCAATTAGTAATTTTCCTTCCGAGGTGTCATGTGACTCATTAGTGTTACAAGGTCTCAGGTGTGAATGGGGAGCAGGTGTGTTAAATTAGGTGTTATTGCTCTCACTCTCTCTTACTGGTCACTGGAAGTTCAACATGGCACCTCATGGCAAAGAACTCTCTGAGGATCTGAAAAAAAAGAATTGTTGCTCTACATAAAGATGGCCTAGGCTATAAGAAGATTGCCAAGACCCTGAAACTGAGCTGCAGCACGGTGGCCAAGACCATACAGCGGTTTAACAGGACACGGTCCACGCAGAACAGGCCTCGCCATGGTCGACCAAAGAAGTTGAGTGCACGTGCTGAGCGTCATATCCAGAGGTTGTCTTTGGGAAATAGATGTATGAGTGCTGCCAGCATTGCTGCAAAGGTTGAAGGGGTGGGGGGTCAGCCTGTACACTCACTACTTAACACTAAAGAAATTACACTTTGCTACATGTAGTCACATGAAAAGATATAATAAAATATTTAGAAAAATGGGGGGTGTACTCACTTCTGTGAGATAATGTGTATATATATGCCTGGAGCTGGACATTAGAGACCTGGTCCAGATGATGCAGCTGTGCAGCAACAGATCACATCTAATAGTCACCTGTTGCTGGCTGCAATCAGCCAACAATAAATCACCACAACAGTGACCTGCTGCTGATCTGCCTGATCTGAGTTAGTTACATTCCCACTCCCAATGCAATGTGTTTACATTCCCTTCTACATCATAATCCTATAATGACGAATGGTCAGTAACCATGAAACTGGTAGTTCTAGTACTAGTGCCAGCAGGGCCCTCCAAGAGCAACTGAATCCAGGTACCATTTTAAAACGGACTGGGACGTATAGCTGCTGTCCCTGTGCTGCTTTGAAACAACACTCAGGACTCTTCTTTCAATAATATTTAAAGTAATACAGAACACATAAAAAACTGAGCATTTTTAAGTGTAAAACAGTATACACAATACAAGCCTATGTCTGTAACATATCTAAAATTATTTAAGCATTATTGTAACGTTGGAGTTATTCAATTTAAGAGTTATTGTACTGTTAACAAACACATTCGGAGGCTGCTACTGTAAGTATGGCCTGGATATCTAGTTGTCAGTGACCTGTGGTCCCGAAAAGGTTACCATATACTGTATGTGCATTGTAAGAACCAGCTTCAAACTGTAGAGCTTGCTTAAAGTGGAGTTCCAGTTAACTAAAAAAAAAATAAGTCAGCAGCTACAAAAACTGAGGCTGCTAACTTAAAATACAAACACATACCTGTCCCATGATCCAGCGATGTCCTCACCATGGATGGTTTCACCAGCCATCTTCTCTCCCCAGCGCTGGCATCTTCAGTGTGGGCACCTCCTTGGACTGTTGTTAATGATTGTAAATATTATATTATCAGTTGCAGCCACATAGTACAGCAGCCTTTTTTGTGATTTGATTGATACTCCACATATTTCTTCTATCCCTTTTTTTCATATTTCCTTACAGTGTAATTTGCCATGTTTGGAAGAATGTGTGCAGATGGCAGAGACCTGTTATGCAGATGGAGACATCTTCCAAGCTGTCAAATATTACTTGCTAAGTTCAGAACCAGAAAAGGCCATGCCTATTGGGATCAGTTTTGTAAAAGGTACCTATGATATATCAGTGGCACATAATTAACATGCTAATTTTACATCCTGTCCATACAAGTCCATATGAGCTTTTGTTACAGTTTAGAACAGCGGGGAAGGATACGTTTCTCTGTCAGGTCTTTATTGCAGTACAATATTCGCATCGCACATGTTACTGGAAAAAGTAAGAAGTAAGCAGGTGCTGTAGCAGCTGCCAGCTGGAGAGCGGTATCATAATCCAAAGTATATTTCTCCAGCACACCAAGGATTATTTAAATAAAGTCCAAGCATTTATTTGGTGATCAGATCACAGTGGTAATTTGCAACGTTTATCATTGTGTATCAACGTGTGAAATGCATGGCCCCAAACATTACTCTTTACCACTGTGGAAATCATTAATGTTTAGACTTTATTTCAGCGATACTTTGTGTGCTGGAGATATATACTTTGTGTCCCTTTTGGGGAGATTTCCTCTGCCTTCCTATTGGGAAAAGAAGTAATTAGAAATCTCTAATTTTCAGTAAAATAAAATTGAAATAAAAATGTAAAGCCTCTGTAAGGTTATTATTACTGTATGTGACTTCTTTTCCTGGTGACAATCCCTGCCCTAATTACAGTACTCTTCCTGCTGTCACAGGCTATCAGAAGGACAGAAGTGAGATGAAATCTTCCCAGTAGGGTCACAGACAGGCATAAAAAAAAATCACATTATTTTTTACTTTTTTCCAAGTCTATCCAGCACACAAAAGTCATTTTGTCTGGAATTGGGCTTTCATTTTTTTAAAACAATCTAGCAAAACGTTCCCATTGTGCAGTTGTGTGCAAAAGGCATGTTTACCATAAATTGAATTGATTGGATTGGTGGGAGAAAGGAGCATAGTGATCAGGTGTAGAAATTGGTGGGTATGTACGTTGGACATATTTGCTAAGATAGAGAGGCAGGAAAGGTTGGGGGTGGCAGTGGTTATGGGCTTAGGAAGCTCAGATTACCCCTTCCACCATGTGGGTTGTTAAATCTAATATTAACCTATGGCTCATGAATTTATACAATACTATAACTTACCATGCATTTTAAAACAGTGGTTATTTTTTTAATGTTGGTTTTCTTCAGAACATATCAGCAGCACTGAATGGACCTTGGATTCCATTTGTCCAATCCTTGATCTTCTCAGTTACATCAGAACGGAGAGATTAGTACTTCATAAATGTAGTGAGTGAGTACTTTTTCTCTTGCCTTAAGAAAATATCTCTGTGCACAGAATGTATTATTTTAAACACTACCCAAATTGATAAGATCAGGTGACAATGTCAAATCTGTGTGGGCAGGCAATTATCCTTTAGCTCTTGGTGCTGGATTGGACTAGCTAGAAATCTTGCCGTGATTGTTATTGTATACCCCCCAACCCCAAGAAAGGCATCACTGGTAAAATATGCCTGGATTTTGAATTTCTGTAAACCCCTGCTCAACAGCATTAACAATGAAAGAGAGAGGGTCAGCACTCTAAAGTTGGCCATAGATGGATTGAATCTTGATCGGTCCCTGCTGAACCAGCCAAGATTCAAACTATCTATGGGCAGGCTGGCAGTACCCAAGTTGATCCATCAATCAACTTGAGTACAACAAGCCTGTCAGACTTCTTACATGTGAATACTGCCGGTGGCTATAGCCGCTATCAGTGATCATTGTTTTCTAGCAGCCGGGAAAGCTACCCTTCTGCAGAACACAATAGTGCTGCAGGAAGGATTCCCCCTTCAACTCTGACTGCATTCATTTGGGAATCGAGCAGTCTTCTTTCCTTCCACCCATGATGAAAGGAAAGAAACCAAATTATCTATAGCTTCCCTAATGCTAGGTACAGACAGGGAGTTTTTCTTTTCGTTCAACCCAGTAGGCTAAACGGAGAAAAAACTGCAAGGTTGCCGTACTAATTAAGCAATGTAAGTGCAGAAATCTCCCCCACTGAGCTATTGTGTTCTAACAGGGGGACTGTTCCCCCACCAGAACACACTGGTCAGCCGTCACAGCCATTGCCTGCAAGCTCTGATCAGATGCTGGTTTTCCAGTATGCATGTTCAATAAAAGCTGTCTATTAGACTGGCTTCTGTCCAATAGGCTGCTGTACACACAGTTTCTGTTGAACTGGGTGATACGGGACGATGTTCGGCCATGTGTACCAGTCAATCTAGGCTCTTTTGCTTTGCATAATGCTTTCTAAAGCCCCATACAGACGATGAGGATATCGGACGAATGTTATCCGGTTTTTGTTTTTTTTTTAATGCTAGCCTCATATTGAAAGTGAAGAAAATACTAAAGTTATTCTTATTCTATTATTATTATTCGAAAGTGTTGTAATGTATTTGTATTGTATTTACGTATGAAAGCTGTGCAGATTAAACAAAAATCGCACAATCTGGTATCGTATGAGAAAAATTTCCATGCTTGTCCCTTCTAATAATTTTGGGCGAAACATATGTGCTAAAAACAGATTATCACACAATTGTTTAGAAACTGGTATTTTTGGTACAATTTTCTGATCGTGTGTACTAGGCTTAACACTGTGAGGGCAATTACTGAAGGAAAGAGCACAGCAATTGCCTTAACGATGGTCTGCTGTTCCTCCATTGTCCTGTCATCAGGTTGGGTGTGGGACCTTAACCAAGTTGTGCTGCTCAACTGCACTGGAGATCAGAGATCAGAGGTTCTTGGACTGGAAGTGGCTGAACGGAGTTATAAACATTTGGCATGTAAAATTGATCATTGAAATCTATTTCAAATCTAGCTGTTTACCTGGAGAACAGATTTGAAGCAATTCCTTTAGCCCTTTTAGACTTTCGTAAATAAAGGCCATGTGTACGATTAAAATGACAAGGTATCTGTAATCTTTGTATGCCAAAAACCCCAGTCACTGTGCCTTTCTGATCTTTTTGTCCCTCCTACTATGGCATTTGAGCCAAATGTATTTCTTGAATGTGATGGGAAGCTTTATTGATCAATAATGTGATATGGTACACTGGGTCACAGAGGGAGCTGCAGTACAGTGCAGCCTTTGACTGAGGTTACTTTATATGCTATGCTAACACCATTCCCCTCCACTGCAGAGTATTTAGTGGGGGTGTCCATTACCTTTTTCCTATACTTGAGTTAAAACTAATAATAATGTAAGGTAGTTTATTCTCTGTTGGATATGAATTAAATGACCATTATATTTCCATTCAGAGTACGCAATGAACTGCTTATACTCTGTGGATACACTGGAGCTTTACTGGCTATTAGAAGGCACTATATCAGCATTGTTCCTGCACTTTATGAATATACAAGGTAACTCATTCTTAGTGATAATGTGTATCAATTTACTACTAATAAAAGTCTATATCTGGAATCTTTTAGCACAAATATTAAAACAAATTCAACCTGGTGAAACTGCAAATAATGTATTGTGATTAATGTGTCCAATATACAGTATACAATGCATACAGTAGCTACTGTATATTTAAGTAACTCAGTATTATTTATAAAATGTATATTTCGTAATCTGGTAATGCTGTGGCTTGATAACCTTTATGGTTGTTACTGTTAGGTTTTGCTTTTTATTAGTCACTGTTTTCTTTTCATGCTACTTTTTTCCAGTCAGCTTTTGAAACGCCGGGAAGTATCTGTTCCTCTACAGATTGAGCAGCTCTCAGTGGAACTGGATGCATGGAGAGCATGTACCCTATCCACCAACAAGTAAGTGTCAGTATACTCCATACTAGTAGAAATACCCTAAAACAAATCACTTGAAAACACATCGTTAATAAGGTGATATGATCACCAAAGTGTTGCATAGATTCATCTTTACCGTTATGTCACACCTACCCCTAATGCAGGTGGTCAGGCACTATAGCTGCTTATTCACCTATAGTAGCCCCCCTTCCCATAAGTCCAGCAGGCCTACTGGTACTCAGATGCTCCCAGGCCTTATAAACAATACTAGAATGCCTGGCTACCATGCTGGGGCAGGTGCGAACTGAGCACAGCAAGCAGGTACTTGTGGTTGGCAGACAAGCATTGTGGCCAGTGACAGTCCAGGTACAAGGCATGCAAGGTTCTGGATAGTCAGGTCAGGTCTGTAGTCAAAAGATAGGCAGAGTTCAGAGAATAGTTTGTGTTCCAATCCAAGGTCATAAAACAAGGGAATCCAAACAGCAATCAGGGTAGACAAACAGGGAGTTTGAAGCATGTGTTAAACACAATATCACAAGCATGAGACTGCAGGCTTGGCTGGCTTGAATCAGGTTTAGTCTCTACCCAGAGACTGGCTACATCAATCACCTTGCAGGTGGACAGACAGGGGGAATGCATCACAGCCAACAGCAAGATGAGACCAGCAGCTGGCATGGAAAAGTAGAGTTTACGCTTTCCTGACACATTATAAAGTGATTAAAAGAGAAATGTGGGATTTTTTTTTAAATTTCACTTACACATCAGTTCTAATGGTGAGAACTGAGCAATCAGACACCGCTGACTGCTCAGTTCTCTCTGCATCTCAGAGCAGAGAGCCAGGACTGTCAGTCTCCAGCACTCTGCTCTGCCCCCCCCCCCCCCCCAGTGCTCACTGGAACATAGAGGGGGCAGGAGCAGCTGGCTAAGACTTTAGCCTTCTGTCGGCTAAAAATGGGTCCCAGGTGTGCAGAGGGAACTGCACTCCTGTGATCCACAGAAGTACAGCCAATCAAGCTTTGGCTGTACTTCTCCTTTAAAGATAATGTAAAGTTTATTTAAGCCTTGTTTTAAGTGGTTGTAAACCCTCACATACACCAAATGAAATGACGATAAACAGAGATGAAACAAATCCTCCTACATAAGTTCTGTATATGTATCTGCAGCCCTTTTTCCTCTACATCAACCACACAGATCAAAGGCTATTAGTCAGCAGTAAAAGGCAGAAGGCAAGGATCTGACATCATACTGCACAGCTAGAGCATAGAGCTCAGTAAAACCTGAGTGGGAGAATGGATACTCCCATCCTATACACAGGTTCATAGGGAAATATTCACAGCTGAGACTGTCAGTCAGTTGCTGTGTGCTGGAGAGGGAGTAGGCCATCACCCAGGATGCTGTGGATTAAGCTTGGACTATTAGCACCCATGCACACTGACTTTAAATTTTAACTTCCTTAGAAGCCAGCAGCGTTTTGACCAAAAAAACACCCCGACATGTATTAAAGTATATACCGCATTTACACACATTGAAAAAAAAAAAAACCTCAGGTGAGGTAGAGAGTATTTACTGCATGCCTAACTATTTACTTATTAAAAGTTTGAAATCACTTTCAGGCCCACTCATTCTACTATCAACATTGACTAGTTAATGTTAAAATGCCTGTTTGAAGAATTAAAAAAATCGGGTTAGTTACCATACAGCCCCCCAACCCAATGAAACCAGTAGATTTCCTAGACAGTGATTGTGACAGCTTAAAGGAGAAGTACAGCCAAAGCGCTTTTGGCTGTACTTCTCTTGTGGATCAGAGGAGTGCAGTTCGTTCTGCACTCCTGTGACCCAATTTTATCTGACAGCGAGCTGAAGCCTGTTGTCAGCTGACGTTATCCAGCCGGTCCAGGCTGGGGAAAGATCCCGACTTTAAAGTCAGGATCCACCCCGATTTGGGAGTGACACCTGGCCCAGCCTCGTAGTGAGCAGCTGGGAGCCTGAGCCAGCTGCTCCCTCCCCCTCCACAACCCAGCGTTCCAGTGAGCATGGGGGGGGGGGGGGGGGGCAGCCACCGCTGTTTGCTCATAGCAGCTATGAGAATCCAGCAATCAGCGGTCATATGATCACTGAGTTCTCACCTTTAGAGCCAGTGGGGAACAGATGCAGCATCGGACCGATGCTGCATCCTCCTAGGTAAGTATAATTGGGGAAAAAATCCAAACCTCTACTTCTCTTTTAAATGGCTGCACATCTCTGCATTTAGTGTCAGGGTTTCTCTTTGACGTTATTCGATCATCATGAATGCTTCTGGATTGCATCATGGATTCTGAGAACCCCACAAGTCTTTACTGGCAGTGATTTCCATTTTCTTGTTAAAAGAAAAAAAAACTTTTATATTTCGGTATATGATTGCCAACAATCTTTGAGTTTCTGGTTAGTGTGAGTACGCCCTTAGAAATAGCTTTTTCTCGCTGATCAAACAGGTAAAACTCTGCCAGTCTATATGGACTGATGTTTTACAAGAGCG